AGATAGTGTAGATTCGAACTTGCTTCAATTATGTGGGAGGGGGAAGGGAGTCAAAAATAGAGATCAAAATTACATGTAGGAAGATGTGAAAAATATAGCGTTGTAAATGGATATTAGAGATTAATTCAAACAATCAAAAGACTCAGTTGAATTACAATAAACTACTTAATAAACAGCTTCGCTTGTGTTGTTTAGCAATTATAATTATTTGATTTCGGAGTTAGAAAGTAAAACAATGATCTACAAATATTTTTCATCAAATATTCTGACAAAAATTTTAATTCTAAAGTAACATTATGTGTACGAAATTACTTTTGGCACGAGATCTAGAGGAAAAGCGAAAAAATCATGTACGATTTGACTTCAGTAGTTTGCATACTGATATGCGAGTCGGTTGGTGTACGAGATAATTGTAGTTCGACTTAATTCAATAAATATTAATGAGGTGAGAAATATCAATAACGGCAAATATCAGGAATTAGGCTTTGTGTCCATCAACGAAATGTCTTCGAAATAACTTGAACATGTTGAAAGTATTTGTTAACTATGTGGGTCATTCTCAAAATATGCAGACTTTTGGAAAAGTAACACTCAAGAAAAATAAATTCTGTAAAAAATTCATTTATTGCCCAAAACACATTTATCAAGCAATGAACTATAATATCTCAAAATTTGCAAACATTGAAATCTACCATCTGGCAGATAATTAGACTGAAAGTTGATGAACTGCAAAAAGTTGTCAGTGGTGTAACAATTATACTGTATTGGGAAAAAAATCTTATATAAAATAATGCAACTTTTTAAAAATTATGGACATAAAGTTTACATCAACAATCTTCAATTAAATTTATCAGAATCAGAGAACAGCTAATTTTTGACACATTTATGCAGCGAACAACATCACATTTTAGACAAATTCTTTATGTCACTGTAGCAAATGTTCATTTTTAACATTAAAAAAAACAACTGGAAGAATGTTTCAGATGTGCATGAAAAAAATATATGTCTATAATTACACAGGAGTTTTAAGATATACAGATATCACTGATAATTTATTTTATTTTGGGAAATATGCACTTGTTACACCACTGACATTTATGTTTTACCACTGACGTTACACTGTTGACAAAGTGATATTAAATCAAAATTTTGTGTGTCAAATGATAAAAAATAAAGTAAATTCTATTTTTAATTACATTAAAAACATTTTAACTCTGCTCTTAGATTAATATTTTGAAACCTAATTCTTCCAAAATCCAAAGAAGATACATCAAATAGTGTTACACCACTTACATTTGTACAATCAATGTTACACCACTGACAGAAAAATGCATATACAATTATACATGTAATGCTATACATTATCTGTAACAAGAGCTTTACAAATATACAGTGATTTTTTCCATGACATTAATATTTTATATACTTTTCAAAAGTTTAAACATTAATTCAGCATTTTTAAAATGGTCATTACTTTTGAAAGAGGAAAGATAGGGCTTACACATAACATAATACATGTGACAAGGTCTTTCTAAATATTCTCTGATTTTTAGACCCCATGACCTTGAAATTTTAACTAGAGATAGGGCTTTTATATTTGACAAGTGTACTATACCTGTATCAAGATGTTTTCGAGCATGCTATGATTTTTTTTCCTCTTTTGCTCTTCATGTTTGACCTATTTTCAAGCAAAAAATGTAACTTTGGTGATTGACTTTTGAATGACATGCATCTCATCCTCGATCGTAAGACAAGGTACCAGTAAATGGGAAACATCAACTATTTAAATTTGCTTATTAGTATCATGAGTATTCTCTAATACTTGTTATGTTTCTTTCACATGGTTTCTTCCATTCTTGACTGTGTATTGCTTAATTTTATCTTTCACCAACTCTTGTTTTGCCATTTTTTCCTCTTTGTTTTCTTCATGTTTGTAAGTTTAATGTCTTGCAGATATTTCTCTTTATTATGTTTGCTTACTGCATCACTGTTTCTGGATATCCTTTCTCGAAATTTTCGTTGACATTTAGTATTTGTGAATTACAAGTATCTGAAAAAAAGAAGAGACATTATAACAACATCCATAAATGAGATTATACTGGAATTATCTATCTTATAAGTGATTAAACATGAGTGTTGGGGGTGTGGTAGAGTGTAGAAAGTAAGTCTAGATAATATTATTTTTTGTAAAATTAAATTTTGTTTGATATATTTCATCTTTTAATAAAGGATTTTAATTAAACTAAATGCACTAAGCTACTAAATGTCAATTGTGTAACAACCAATGTAAGTGGTGTAACACTTCTCTTTTTCCAGACTAATGATATCAAACAGTCAAGCAAAAATATTCTAATTATCTCAATTTGTTCAACTTATGAAATGGATTGTTGACAATTTCTTAAAATGTTCTAAATATTAATGAAATGAAAGAAAATGTAAAATTATAAAATATTGTCATGTGGTGTAACATTTTTTGTCACTGGTGTAACAATATTTATTTGTTACACCAGTGACTGTTACGCCACTGATGTATCTGGAGTATATTTAACAGTAGGATCCAATAGGTCAAAATTGTACACAATTTCACATAGCCTTTTTCAAATGTAATAAACATTCACCACTTTTGTGAAGTTTTTATTTTTTCTTTCATAATAGAAAACCTTTAATAGTATGTTATCCCACTGACACATATTGCTTGTATTACTCTGATCATACTTACCTTTTCTGTGATATCTTCTCTCACAATAATGACATCACTGATGCGTTCATCATTTGGATTCAGGAAGTGATGTCACTCTCATCTGGGGAATTCCAACTTTTGTACAACATCACTAATATGATGTATTTTTAAATATTTTGTTTTGTTACACCAATGACAGATTTTTTTTAGACGCACATATATCTCATTATTTTTATTTTTTGTAAAAGATTTTTGTTCTACAGCATACCAGAAATTAAAATATGAATGCTGATCTGAGTATTCAATGTAATGTTTTTAATTAAAACATCAGTCATTTTAAGTTGTTGTAGGTTAAAGACATTGACAGAATCTATTGACACATGGATTCACTGATATCTTGTTACAAAATAATATTTTTTTTATTACTTTAAGCAATGAAATTGTAAATTTTTGTGTTCTTAGAAAAAGTTTACGTATTCTTAAACCCTATGATACTGTTTATTTTTCCCAAAACATTATTTTTTCACCTTTAAATTGATACTGACGCGAAAGGCTGCATATTTTGATAATGACCCATGTACATTTCATTTTCAATCATCGAAACAAGTCTACTTCAATTATTTCGACTCTGCAAAAATCTCCGCCAGGATCCCAGTGTGTTTACATGCCGTTTATTCATAAGCCAAGACCAGCAGCAATAGTCTGTGGCTATATATTACCACTGTCTAAAAATGTAACAGAAATAGGCCTAAGGGACTGAAATTTTGTAATACTGTAAAATTACATAATATCAAGGGGTCAAATTTTCGTGGTTTGAGGAAAATGTATTGGTTCATATGGATTTGATTTCGTGGTTGAATAATTGTTCAGAAGACTGTAGTTATATAATCTGAAAAATTGCATTTCATGGTGGACATAAATTCAAGGGTCTATTCATGCCTTGAAAACCACGAAAATCCCCCCCCCCCCCCCCAATGAAAATTAGTAATTTTACAGTACATATGGAAAAAATCTAAAAGAACAGCTGAACTATTTCAGTCATATTGATATTGAAACATCTTAAATCAGGTAGAGCAGATTCAAGTTTATTTAATCATCATGATCATAGCCCCTGAGGATTTGTTGGTGTCACAATCAAGGTGAAATATTTTCTTAGGAATTTGTAGGAAAACATCTTCAAATTTCTATGAGAACAGCATGAGTACAACACATGTATTCTAGCATAAATCCTCAGGTAGTGCAGATTCAAGTTTGTTTCAATCGTGGTCAGAGCTCCATGGGACCACATTTGGGGAGCAGAGTTTTATGTAGGAAAAGGGAAAACAAGTCTTGTATATTGAAATTCATCATACAGTTTCCTTATACATTTGTATCACTTACTCATGAATTTATAAGGGACAAGTGGCAGTAAATTGTTGATGGTAAAATATCTTATCAAACATGCCAAATGGTAAAATATATGTGATTAAGTCAAAGCCTGTTCCTGATGTACCCAAAATGGCCATAGCCTGAAAAAAATATGATACTTGGGTGACAGTTAGGTCAGTTTGGTTCTTGTTTTATAAATCAATTATTCTATTTTTTATATCATAAACATGATAGAGTCAGTACAGGGTAATGCTGCAAAGTTGGAGCAGCTTAAATTGGTTGATTGTATCTGGTCAGAAAATTAATATAAGAAAATTTCAATTAAAATGACTTTTAATCCTGGATGAAGATGTACTAATTGTCAGAGGATTAATACAAAGGTCAGTATTGGAAACCAAATTAAATCTTGTCAGACTCATGTTGATTGCTGATTTCCAATGCATGAACTTAATCAGGATAAGACCTACAATTGTACATACATACCTTCACACAACTGAAAGATATTCCATCCATATTTTATAGGAATTGTTTGACAGATGTACATATAAGACAGTCAGAAATGTCAGCACTTCTTACATGCCTGAAATTTAATCTGGGACTGAGTCATTAGCTTTGTTTTTAAGTGTAAAATGCAGTATAATTAGATCATTGTCTGGACCAGTTAGACAAGGAATCTATAAGTATGCATAAGTAACACACTCCACCAGTTGTATAAGCCTTCTAATCAAATTTTCTGCTGAAAACAAATTGAAAGTAATTACTCTTATCACAGGGCCTTTGAAGCACATTGTTTCAAATTTTAAAGAGATGGTAATCAGCCGATTAGTTTCAAATTACACCACCTTGCTGCCCTGACTGTGTTCTGATGGAGAGAGAGGGGGTTGTGTTAAGGTTTAGGATCAGCTATAGCTATGGATTCCGTGTACTCTAACTTAATATCTGCTCTTTACAGGAGGCACACACCTTACATGGGACAACCCGACTACAGAATTCACGAGCTGAACAAACGACTACAGCAACGCAGCGAGGTATGTATAGCCTAGTGATTGCAAACACTGATAAAGGCTCAAGTTAAAAATTTTTATTTCCTGTTCAAAGTCCAGGCAGTGTGCATGTAAAATATGTAACTATGAATATGTTGCATGCAGGTGTTATAATCTACCATAAAATAAAAAGAAATGCCGTCTTGTTTATTATGTGATAAGTGTTTTGAATTTAATGACCATGATGAAAATTATGCCATAGTCAATTTTTTTTGAATATTGAACCACTGATTATCTGTATGGCTGCATTTCGTTTCCGGAATTTTTGGTAGGCCTAATTATCAACTTTTCATTTCCGACATTTTTTGTTTTCATTTCCGACATTTTTCAAATACATGAGCAGTACCTATAGTAACAAATTTGATAACTTTACTTATGAAAAATTTTAAGAAATAAATCATAAATAAACCATTGAAATCCAGTTCTGTAAATCTATAAGTGAATTGGACATAAGTATGGTGCTGTCACTGTCATTTAATTTAGTGAACGTTAAATATGGTGAAAAAGTTTTATGGTCAATAACTCTTTTACTTAGACTAAGTGCTACGTACGACACGGTATGCATATATGTATAGATGTTTTGTTTTTTTAATTAACATTTTGGCATAAATACTTCTAAATTTTCATTTTATTTTACATAGAAAACATTAAATTACCGTACAGGTAAATTTCAGAAATGAAAAAAAAAAAATGTCGGTAATGAAATAAAAAAATGTTGGAAATGCTATGCATATTTCCGGAAATGAAATGCAGCGATCTATATCTATATCAAATATTTTTAGATAATTTGATGAATTATCATGATTAAGTGTAATATTTTTATTACAATTTAATATCACTTTCAAATTGTTATTTTTAGAATATGTTAATTATGTATTTATTTTTAGGTAACCCCATACATTTATTATTGATCTGGTTATATCTAGAACCCTATTACACAGAAGTGGTTTAATTTTACACCCCTGTAATTACTGATGTGCATATTTCTAGACCCCTATTATTTTTAGACCCTCATGGGCCTATTTACAGATGTGCTTATAAACTGATCAGTAGACTTTTTATAATTATGTTAATCAGAATTCTTTATTTACTTTCTGTATAGGAGAGTGACAATCTATGGTGGGATGCGTTTGCTACCGAGTTCTTTGAGGACGATGCCAGTCTGACTCTGTCCTTCTATCTCGAGGATGGACCTAAGCGTTATAGTAAGTACACAGTCTACAAATCTAAGACCCTTATTGTAGAGGCAAAATAATTTCCACATGGTCATTCTGGATTTGAAAAATTGATAATTTTATAAACAAGAATATACAAAGAGCTCATTTTTGTTTGTTTTGGCCAAGGTTGCAGGTGCTTGTGCAGTGCCTAGTATTCATTTAAGTAATAAATAGACTGATTTAATAAAGACAAAATGAAGCACAAGTGTTTGTTCAAAATGTTTTATATCACATGTAAGTGATTGGCTTACAGTAATTGACTAATAGTAAACCTGAATTTCAGCCATAGGTCGTACCCTGGTTCCTCGGTACTTTCGGAGTATATTTGAGGGAGGAGTCACGGATCTCTACTACATACTGAAACACTCCAAGGAATCATTTCACAACACCTCCATCACCCTGGACTGTGACCAAGCCACCATGATCACCCACCACGGAAAACCAATGTTTACAAAGGTATGTACTGGTCTACAGTTTTAACACAGAGACCAATTAAGCCACCATGATCACCCACCATGGAAAACTAATGTTTACAAAGGTACGTACTGGTCTATAGTTTTAACACAGAGACCAATTAAGCCACCATGATCACCCACCATGGAAAACTAATGTTTACAAAGGTACGTACTGGTCTATAGTTTTAACACAGAGACCAATTAAGCCACCATGATCACCCACCATGGAAAACTAATGTTTACAAAGGTACGTACTGGTCTATAGTTTTAACACAGAGACCAATTAAGCCACCATGATCACCCACCATGGAAAACTAATGTTTACAAAGGTACGCACTGGTCTATAGTTAACATAGAGAAAACCAATGTTGACAAAGTGTGTTATGGTCTTCACTCTTCAGTTTACATAAAACGGAGAAACATTTTATGTCAGCATTATATCCATATAGGTTTCAGTATTAAACCTGCTGTTTCTCAAGTAGTATACCTGGCTGGAAATTGTTTTCAAGTTGCATTAAAATTTTACACAGTAAATGCTGTCCAATTTAGCACATTCAAAATGGAATATGTCTGAGATAGAGAGGTTTAAACTTTTTTTTAGAACATTTTGATTAAAGGCTGAAAATAAAACTGTTCTGTTCAATTGTTTTATTAGACTTGTTTGATAATTTCTTCTCTACAAGTTGTTATGGAGGACAGTCTTATATGGGAGTTGACATGTCATATATCTACAGGTTGTTACAGAAGGCAGACTCATACTGGAGTTTACATTTGTTTATTATCTACAGGTTGTTACAAAAGACAGACATATACTGCAGTTTACATTAATTTTGTTTCTTTATCTACAGGTTGTTACAGAAGGCAGACTCATACTGGAGTTTACATTTGTTTCTTTTATCTACAGGTTGTTACAGAAGGCAGACTCATACTGGAGTTTACATTTGATGATCTGATGAGAATAAGATCTTGGCATTTCCAAGTTCGCCAGCACCGAGAGTTAATACCTAGAAGTGTTATAGCCATGCAGGTAATTACCTCAGAGAAGTAACAAAGATAGGAACACCTGAAACAGTGAATCTGCCATTAATTTTTGCAAAGTATTGGATTTTATATCAAATTTAGAGATCACCTGAATCGCTCAAGTTTCTGAGAAAATGTCAGGAGCAACATCAGCCCAATTAGGTTTAAATTATTCAAACTTATTAAAGAGGCAAATATTTTACATGATTATGATGTGTACAGTGTATAATAATACATGAAGCCTCCTCTGAAATTGTGAATTTTGTGAACCTCTGTAGGAGTTTGCTGCCTTCTCCTCGTTAGCTGATAAGTTCTAGACCTATGAGTACATTACAGTGGCAGAGTAGCCTGAAAATACTGTTTCTGGCAGAAAAAAGCCCAAAGCTTTTAACATACTGTAGCAATAAAATTATGAATATGTCATATACATGTAGAAATGTAAGGCCTGAGGTGGCTACAGGCTACTGATTTTAAAAGAAAGTACCGGTACAATGTACTTGGAAAAATTTGATAGTCTTCCTCATCTTTAAACATAATGCAAGGACCATGCTAAATAATAATTTCAAATTCTTCTTTTACAGCAAGATCCTGCAATGGTTGAACAGATCTCCAAAAATATAACAAGACAGGGGCTGACAAACTACACTCTGAACTTTCTTAGGGTAAATGTCAAAAGTCATTTTGATCAAACATTTAAGTATACTGTCAATACATGTACAAGCATGTATGTGTACAGGTCAGTTAATTGGATTTTCTCTGTTTTACTCCTGTTTTTGTATTAGTATTTTAGTATCCTGAAGTATTTTAGTTGTAAGTCTCAAAACAAAACACTTCTATTAACTTCTTAATCGGGTCATTATTATTACATCCTCTTTGTGATTTTTAGTTATGTGTGATTCTGGAACCCATGCAGGAGTTAATGTCTCGTCACAAGGCGTATGGTTTGAATCCCAGGGACTGTCTCAAAACCACATTATTCCAAAAGTGGCAGCGTATGGTAGCACCCCCAGGGAAGGGGAAACCAGGTAAATGGTCGTAAGAAACGGAATTTTTGTAGTTAATTGAGAAACTGACAAGTTAGATATTGGATATTTTTTAGCTTTGTTTGAAAATATAGAACAGTTTGCATGGTTATTAGTTTCAATATTTTTAAGGAAAATAGATTCTGATGCACCTTAAAAGGAGTTTCTGTTTCCCAATAAAAACATATTACTCGTCATAGTAATCTACATTCAAGTAAAAAAAATATGTATATCTAAGTTATTTTTTAAATTGAATGGTATCCCTTAGCTTGCTATAAATAAGTATCTGCATGTGTGAAGAGTTATGTCTAAAAAATAAATCAAATTTAATATATATGTATATTTCCAATTAGTTTCATGATTTTGAGAATTGAAGTTGAATAATATTCATAAATGCATTTGTAGAAAATCCAAGACAAGCAGGAAAGAGAAGAAAGCGGAAAGCCTCGGCGGGTACCGGGGGGAGTATGAACCCAGGAGGAGGGGGAGGGAAGAAGAGGTCACCCGGTCCCCAGGGCATGCCCCCCTCAGCCCCAGGAGTAAGTACCAAGGCCAATTACACAAAAGTACCTCATTTCTAGATCCCTGTCTGAGCTGTACAGCATTAACTTCAATGAATTTGCACACTTTCTCTCTGTAAAGAAAAACCCCCTTTTTTCCCACAGAAAATGGGAGTGTTTGGAAAACTTGGAAAGTTCTTGTTTGGTAAACATAAGAATGCAGGATTTATTACCCTTAGTTCTCTCCTAAGTTAAGGGAATGGGTAGAGGCGATATATATCTGCACTGGCCCTGGGATCATGAAACATCTTAAGCTTAAGTCAAGATCTTTATGTTGTATATGAAAGTTGTAGATGTTTTTCACCCCTAAATCAACATATTTCTCCACATAATTTTCCAAAAGTGTTGTTTTCTGCAAATTTAGAGATAAATTCAATAATAAATGAACATTTAACAGGCAATTAAAAATTTAACTTAAGTCACGATCCTGGGGCCTGGTGTATGAAGTACAATCTAAGATCAATGTGCAGGGTTTTCCCCCCCAGAAGTAAGCCAATTTAAGTAAAGATTACATCTTCATGGAATAAAACTGTTTCTCGTTCCAGGATGTGATGGTCGTTGGTGAGCCCACGTTGATGGGTGGGGAATTCGGGGACGAAGACGAGAGACTGATAACGCGCTTGGAGAACAGTCAGTTTGAACCAAGCAACACGGAGGAGGACAGTAAAGACTTTCAAAACTCCCCCGCCCTCCAGCAGAGCCCCTGGAGTCAGGACAAAAAGACCCCCACGGGGGGAAACAGTGGTGCGGGCACCCCGGGGGCTGTGCCACCATCAAATTCAGAGGAGACAAAAGTCAAAGTGGAGTGATCTCCCCTTATGTGGAAATCTCCTGTCACTGAAATCATGCATGTCATACCATTTTGTGAGGGTGTCCTTCTAAAAAGTATGCGGTCGTGTGTTGCATTTCAGCAACTTGAATTGTATAAACTCTTTGTTGTAATTTTATGTGTACATTATTATTGGATCAATTTTCTATAGGGATTTATATTGTTGTTTATTTAAAACCAAACCCTATTACAAGTATTTTAGGATCTGGATAGAACTTTACATATTGATAAAGTTTTAAGTTAAAATGAAATTGATTTAAGATTTCCTGGTAAAAAAACCCCCATGTTTTTGAAAGAGAGTTTTACTGATGTAAGATGAAAAAAACCTCTAACATTTACCTATGTAATGTTTGATGCTAAATATATGAGGTCCTGGACAGATAATTATGAAGCATTTACTCAAAAAAATTATCAGAGTTCAGCAACAAAATTGCAATATTCTGTCTCATGCAGAAAACTTCCATAACTCATCGATTTTATCATGATTTTATATATGACTTCATAATATCTGAGAGACATTTCCTCACACACATGTACATGTATGAAAGTTGATAAATTCTTCTGTTGATGGGGGGTGCGGGAATGATTTTGTTAAGGATTAATTCCTAGATAAACACAATAGAATCTCTAGTGACGTACCTGTGAAAGGCAGCTGCAATGTTTATCGTCAAACTACACACATAACACAACATATTTCCACTCCTTCTGGTCTGAAAATTGTTTTTCATTATAATTGTCTAAAGTTTAAAGTTTTTTCTAGCCAATGTTGCGTAATGTTGAAAGTTTTCACATAAGGTCGTAGGAATGACTGCAATATTATTTATGTCACTTACTCGGATTTTAGGGGTACATTTTCCACCTTGAAAGAGCTACATTACCTGCTACAATTCTGCATGTGTGATTTTTTTGCTCTTTTAGGGGTTGGTGGGTGGGTGTTTAGGATTTTTTCATCTAGCAAATTTTTGTTTAAATAACTTGAAAGCAATTTTTTTAATGGAAGCAAAACATAAATTTTACTAGATTGTTGATGATGTGTAGGTAATTAAAATTTATATTTAGTTAATTATTCTCTATTTATGGCTGGAGGTAAAGGTTTGCTTTAATTTTTTTTTAAACTTCTAAAATTTTGTATAATTTAATATTAGATATTTTTTGCTATTAGTGCTCTAGGTAATTTTACAGCCTTGCTGTAGGTAATTTATTTTACAGCCTTGTAGATAATTTACAGCTCTGCTGTTAACATTTTTACTGTTTTGCAGTAGATAAATGATAATTTATATTATTACACAGTCTTATAATTCATTTTTTTAAATGATCCAAACACAGATGTATATTATTTAAAGATTTGAACATGTTACAAGTTAATGGATTTGAATGAATGGGAATTTCAGCCTAATTTTTTTTGTTGTGCAAGTACATGTATATACATGTTTGTATTCTAGTGTAACATTCAGTGTACATAAAATCAATATTTATCATTTTATTTCAATAAAGATCTGAGACTGTGTGGGTGTAAGCTTTATTTTAAATGCTTGAAGTAAGGCCGACTTTAAAATAATGTTTGTTTGCCCTCTCCCGACTCAGGATAAAAACATCAGGTTAGTAAAGAGGTGAGATTTTATTTTCTTTCCAGAAAATTTTAACATCAATAAATTGCAAAATCTATTTCTAGAATTCTAAAAAAATTGCTTCCTTGATGTTAAAAAGTTTCGAGCTATTTTTCGCCAGTTGGTCGGGAAAGGGCAACCGAACAATATTTAAGGAATTGCTGTCTAGTTAGTAGAGTATGCTAGGGCATCAATGATAGTTGGAAACATGGGATAATTTGCATAAAAGGGCAAAGCCAATTATGCATGATGTCCCTGGCCTTTGCTACTAACTAAACTGTGATTCCTTATATTTCCATTCCGGGATTTCATTTTGAAATAAAATTGTGATAGCCCCTGCCCTCTGACATCAGACAAAAAGACAGCAGCAAAGATTTACATGCATATTAGGTCTCCATAGGTTTCCATATATGGTAAAACATTTGGCCACCATATTGAATCTAGCTATCCTTAAAAAATGGAGGCTGCCCTGACCTGTTAGTGTCAGAAAGACAAGATTTATAAGCATACTAGGCCTTCTTAGCTCCTGATCTACATCTCTTACAACATAATTTCTTAAACAGAACAATGAATGGGCGAATTTAAAACGGGGGCAAAATTGTTCGCAAGTGCAAAAGAGCGAAAATAACACGGGGCGAAAATAACCCTGTATACAGTATATCCTGACAGTATGATATAGATAAAAAATATTGATTAACATAGGTACACTAGATTTTCAGAAAATTTATTTAGAAAAATAAAGAATTTTGAATGCATGTAATATATGACAAAGTTAAATCCTAAAGCACAATACAAGACATGGACATAATGTCAATCTAAAATAATTATCATGTTAATTGTTAATGGACAGGGAGTACCGTATAAATGGAAATTTAAGCGAGACGCAAATTTAGCGATTTGCGCTGAAAAACTGGTAATTCATTTTATTGAGATGTTATTTCAGTGATTTTAAATTGAATGTTAAAGAAGTCATAACAAATAAATTGCAATTAATTTTTAGCGATATTCAACTTTAGCGGTCTCAGCACCCTCGCTAGTAATGCCAAAATTAAATCCTCGCTTAAAATTCTACTTAATATACGGTATGAGTTCAAAATAAAAGAAAACCAAACATACAATGTATAATATCACACAGCTATTGTTAGAGTAAAACTAAACATACAATGTATAATATCCCACAGCTATTGTTAGAGTAAAACTAAACATACAATGTATAATATCACACAGCTATTTTTAGAGTAAAACTAAACATACAATGTATAATATCACACAGCTATTGTTAGAGTAAAACTAAACATACAATGTATAATATCACACAGCTATTGTTAGAGTAAAACTAAACATACAATGAATAATACCATAATTGGAAATTTTAGCGAGACGCAAATTTAGCGATTTCTACCTAAAATCTGGTATTTTATTTTTAGCGAGAAGCAATTTTAGCAATTTTTAAAATGCTCATTGAAGAAGTTATTACAAATAATACGCAATTAATTTTTAGCGATATTCAATTTTAGCAATGTCAGCACCCTCGCTAATAATGTCAAAATTAAATCCTCGCTAAAAATTCTACTTATACGGTATCACACTGCTATTTTTAGAGTAAAACTAAACATACAATGTATAATATCACACAGCTATTGTTAGAGTAAAACTAAACATACAATGTATAATATCACACAGCTATTGTTAGAGTAAAACTAAACATACAATGTATAATATCACACAGCTATTGTTAGAGTAAAACTAAACATACAATGAATAATACCGTATAAGTGGAAATTTTAGCGAGACGCAAATTTAGCGATTTCTACCTAAAATCTGGTATTTTATTTTTAGCGAGAAGCAATTTTAGCAATTTTTAAAATGCTCATTGAAGAAGTTATTACAAATAATACGCAATTAATTTTTAGCGATATTCAATTTTAGCAATGTCAGCACCCTCGCTAATAATGCCAAAATTAAATCCTCGCTAAAAATTCTACTTATACGGTATCACACTGCTATTTTTAGAGTAAAATTAAACATACAATGTATAATATCACACAGCTATTGTTAGAGTAAAACTAAACATACAATGTATAATATCACACAGCTATTGTTAGAGTAAAACTAAACATACAATGTATAATATCCATAGCTACAGATAAGAATCATCTGTACACCAACTATTATTTGCATCATCTTCTATTCAGATTCGTCAGTTTGAAATTAATCTGCAATGATTAATTTCCATGACGGAGGAAACATTCTCTACAAATCCTTAGCAAAATGAATGGTTCGTGGCGATGAATATTGGCTTGTTAAAGGAGGTCGCGAAACTCGCAGATATTTCTCGCATGTAAATAAAAGTTGGTTTACAGAACTAAACATACATTGTCAAATGAATAATATATCACACAGCTAGTGACAGAGTTTAAGGGCAACTTTTGAATTCTTTGACCTAATAACAAACATTTTGAAACTGAGAACATTGGTTTTGTTTGGATGCATGTCCATCAGGTGCTTACAAATACCTGCATATTGCATAAAGTTCTACATTTGCTGAATGATTTTGTATGGTTGCATTTTGTTGCCAAAATTTTATTTTCTTTCATATCTGTTGAGACCAAGAAAAAACTTAAGCATATACAAAGATTAGGGGAAAAAAGGCTAAAAAACGAATACCGTAAATCTGGAAATTTTTGCTGTAAATAAATTTTTAGCAAATTTGCGAGTTTGTATCATTTGCAAAAATATTTTTCTTAAAAAATAATTCAATAATAAGAAAATGTAAACAAAGCAGTGGTCATTCGCAAAATTTTGCAACGTAAAAAAACAATCAACAGCATTTTGACCCAGATTTGCAAAAATAAAATCGACGTAAAAATTTCCAGATTTACAGTATGTACAGTTGGAAATTTTTAATTATTAGAGAGGTTGAGATCTTAAACTTGTACGCGTACGTGTACTAGTAGATATTTTGACGTACACGTTATTTTTAATTTGTCTGTTGAGATTTTTATGACGTGTAACATGTACGTGTACACCGCGATCGGTGTCTCTGTTTCAACTATTTAGAAGGTTTTTTGTCGTCAGCTTGTAAACAAAACTTTATGAAAATAAGTGCTCTTGAAAGTAAACATCCTATATAATGTATAACGATCGCATTTTCACACATAAATTGGCTAATTTTTATTATTAAAGCTACACGTTTTCACTTACGTGTAGATTCCATTCTACAAGTTTTACGAACGTGTAGCAATCTTGACGTCACTAAAATTGATGACGTAATACACACAGAATTTAGGTTATTCCCCCACTAGACGTACCCGTACACGTATACGTTTGAAATCTCAACCTCTCTATTAGGACATGTCCTTGATACCTGAGATTCCTGTTCAACATAACAAAGTTCAACTGTTAGTATAACAATGCATGAATAACGCCAACACTTATTCAGTTAAATTTTAGACCTAAAGCATTTCTTATTTTTCCTTTAATTTATTTAGGCATCATGTTTCGTTGAAAAGACAGTTGGCATTGACTCTGGATGTGATGTACATGGGCCAGTAATTTTGATGTTGAATTAACAAAGGTGTCATAGCCAGTTCTACAATATCAAAATTGTAAAACTGCTTCCCCCTTTGTTTGGTCCTATATCTGTTAAATAATTGTCTTTTACCAAAAAAATCGATGTGGGAATATACAAAACGAAAGAAAAAGTGAGCTAGCTCACATACCCCACGCTCCCCCAAAACTTGACGGTGAAACACATAATGACACAGGCACAGTGCACTTTAAATACATAGTATAGATAAAAAAGGGCAATAATTGCAAAAAAATCTTCACATCAAAATGTCTTACATATGAGGACATTTAAATGTGGAATGAAGTTTCTAGATAAGTAATGGAATCCAAATTTCTTGGCATTATACAAATCCAAACATTAATTTGAAGTGTTTGGGGGGGGGGGGGGAGAGAGAAATTTTCTTGAATAATAGGCAAAACTCTTTGGGATAAAAGAAACTATGTACAACAGTTTAAGAGGAGTGGTGCTAACAAACTGTTCATCTCTATATTCTAAATATGGCCAAAAAGTCTAAGTTGGAAAGTGTGGAAATTCCCGGAAAAATAAAGGAATCGGAATTTCCTGGTAATATGCACATCTACATATTGTGTCCTAAATATCTACAAAGTTTGATGAAATTCTGTGCAGCGGTTTATGAGGAGTTGCGCTGACAAACTGTTCATCTCTATGTTCAAGGTATGGCCAAATGCCTAAGGTAAAAAGTGCGGAAATTCCCGGAAAAATAACGGAATCGGAATTTCCTGGTAATATGCACATCTACACATTGTGTCCTAAATACCTGCAAAGTTTGACGAAATTCTGTGCAGCGGTTTATGAGGAGTTGCGCTGACAAACTGTTCATCTCTATATTCAAGGTATGGCCAAATGCCTAAGTTAAAAAGTGCAGAAATTCCCGGAAAAATAATGGAATCGGAATTTCCTGGTAATATGCACATCTACACATTGTGTCCTAAGTACCTGCAAAGTTTGCCGAAATTCTGTGCAGCGGTTTATGAGGAGTTGCGCTGACAAACTGTTCATCTCTATATTCAAGGTATGGCCAAATGCCTAAGTTAAAAAGTGAGGAAATTCCTGGAAAAATAAAGGAATCGGAATTTCCTGGTAATATGCATATCTACACATTGTGTCCTAAGTACCTGCAAAGTTTGACAAAATTCTGTGCAGCGGTTTATGAGGAGTTGCGCTGACAAACTGTTCATCTCTATATTCAAGGTATGGCCAAATGCCTAAGTTAAAAAGTGCGGAAATTCCCGGAAAAAATAATGGAATCGGAATTTCCTGGTAATATGCACATCTACACATTGTGTCCTAAGTACCTGCAAAGTTTGACGAAATTCTGTGCAGCGGTTTATGAGGAGTTGCGCTGACAAACTGTTCATCTCTATATTCAAGGTATGGCCAAATGCCTAAGTTAAAAAGTGAGGAAATTCCCGGAAAAAATAATGGAATCGGAATTTCCTGGTAATATGCATATCTACACATTGTGTCCTAAGTACCTGCAAAGTTTGACGAAATTCTGTGCAGCGGTTTATGAGGAGTTGCGCTGACAAACTGTTCATCTCTATATTCAAGGTATGGCCAAATGCCTAAGTTAAAAAGTGAGGAAATTCCCGGAAAAATAATGGAATCAGAATTTCCTGGTAATATGCACATCTACACATTGTGTCCTAAATACCTGCAAAGTTTGACGAAATTCTGTGCAGCGGTTTATGAGGAGTTGTGCTGACAAACTGTTCATCTCTATATTCAAGGTATGGCCAAATGCCTAAGTTAAAAAGTGCGGAAATTCCCGGAAAAAATAATGGAATCGGAATTTCCTGGTAATATGCACATCTACACATTGTGTCCTAAATACCTGCAAAGTTTGACGAAATTCTGTGCAGCGGTTTAAGAGGAGTTGCGCTGACAAAAAAAGAGGACTGACTGACTGACGGACTGACTGACTGACTGACTGACTGACTGACGGACGGGTCAAAAACATTATACCTCCCGCAACTAGTTGCGTGGGGTATAAAAATATCGGTTTTTAAATTTTTTTTTCACAAAAAACATTTCTGTGTGGGAATATAGAGAAGACTTTGTCTTTTCTAATCAGCCTTTCTGTCAAACACAATGTGTCTTGTAAGTGTATGACAGATACTGAGCAATGGTTTATATACAACAACTTTTGTGTTGCTATTGATGGTTTTCTCAGTTTGAGATAGCTGCCAGTTGGTTTCTCTCAGTAAGTCCAGAAGGTTTAGAGGCCTCTGTGCCTTTTTAAATTCGTTAAATTTCTTGGTTAGATCACTCCAAACATGGCTTCCCCTCACAGTATTAAATCCTGCTGCATAGCCTGAAAAAATATGGACTGTTGTTAAAAATAGTTAAATGTGTATAATTTGGACCCAGGATATTAAAAAAAAAAATCATGCAATTAAACTCATTTAGAAACATGGACATTGCAAATTCACGGATTTAGCGAAGTCATCTTGGATCCCCAGCTATAAGAATGAAACTAATTTCTTATACAGATATAATGAATCACGGATATAGCAAGGTAATTTCATAGGTCCCAGTGACTTTGTTTTAACCAAGTTTTACTGTATAAAATTAAATAGGGTAAACTAAGCTAGAGGAGATCCTATATGGATATGCATAAACTTTCCCCAAAAGATGTGTTTGTGAAACCCTGATGCCCCCTTATGAAAGCTATTAGGGAGGATTGAAGTTTTTAAAATGCCAGTCAAACTACAAGGTCAAGGTCAAAATTGTTGGTATCCTAAGAAATTAGATCTTGTCATATAGAATACACCTGTGAAATATAAAAGCCATATTCCTAACTGTTCAAAATTTATGGTAAAGAATAAAGTTTTTAAAAGTGGGTCACTCTAATGTTAAGGTCGAATGATAAAAAGTATTTGGGCTTGTCACAATGAATGTACATAAAGTATGAAAGCCCTAGCACTAACTGTTCAAAAGTTATGTTCAAAGTTAAAGCTAGTTTGTAAATTTTCAGTAAAAATTCATCAAACTCCAGAGTAAATTTAAAGGTCAAAAGGTCACATTTGCAGTACCCAAAAGAAAGGTCTTGTCACAAGAAATACACCTGTGAAATATGAAAGTCATAGCCTATCCACTGAAAAGTAATATGGGTTAATTAAAATTTTTGCAAACAAACAGATGGACAGGGCAAGCTACAAACCTCTGAATCTTTTATTACAGGGGCATAAACATAAGCCCTTTTTGACAAAACATATTTTTTTACTACTCACCAAATGGAGTTGAGAACACTATGACACTATCGTCAATGCAGGGAGGCGAGTATACAATTTGGCTCTCGGGTGGAATCTGTGGAATTTTTGCTGAAATACCTGAAAGATTAAATTTCAGTGAGACTAGACTGGAGAAAACGTAATAGACATACATATATTAGATATATTGATCTGTGAAACCCGAAATAAGACTCGGATAAAAAAAGTAAAATAGGATGTACGTCATAATGGCATCACATAACAAAGAATCTGTCATGGATATATGCCGGATACCGTTCCATATGTAAAACTATCAGACTGTTTGACATATAGAACAGAGATGTCCCAAAAGTTAGAACAGTAATGTCCAAAAGTTACCTGCAGGAGTCCGATAATTACACAATGAGATTTCATTCATCCATTGTTTTCTACCCATCTGATAAGTAGATAAAAGAAATGAGACTGTCACAGTAAAAACCATGAAAACAGTGAGTGAAGTCGTTTCATTTCATTCATTCAATGGCAGTTGTTTAGCTAAGCAGGACAGGGGGCAGTTGTCAAGGATCTTATTTTTATTCTTTATTGAAATTTTTTATTTATAACATGTATGTGCATAAATTGACATTGCTACAGACATAATTTTTGGTGATATTTTAACTACACCATGGAAAGTAAAAATGTGCATTTTTATCCTGAAGTTTGAGTTTATATAGTGGAAATTCTAAGGTTTAAAAAGTGAGGCCATCGGGGAACAAAAATATATAGATTTGCAGACGCTTTTTCAGAAATGGATAAAGATTCACTTATTAAGAGTGCTGTATCAAAAAGACTTTTTAAACAAGAGGCCCATGGGCCACATCGCTCACCTGAGCACTGTGGCTTTAAAAAAGCAGAATTGGTTTATACTTGAAAAGCTTTAATCCAAAAGTAGTCCCAAGACCAATCATGGCTTTGCTATTCTTGAGAAGAAGATTTTTAAAGAATTTTCCTATACATTTCTATGTAAAACTTTGGTCGGCCATTTTGGCCCCGCCCTACCCCTGGGGGTCATGATTTGAACAAACTTGAATCTACACTACCTGAGGATGCTTCCATATAAATATGATCAATTATGGCTTTGCTATTCTTGAGAAGAAGATTTCTAAAGAATTTTCCTATATATTTCTATGTAAAACTTTGGTCGGCCATTTTGGCCCTGCCCTACCCCTAGGGGTCATGATTTGAACAACCTTGAATCTACACTACCTGAGGATGCTTCCATATAAATATGATCAATTATGGCTTTGCTATTCTTGAGAAGAAGATTTCTAAAGAATTTTCCTATATATTTCTATGTGAGAAGCTTTAGTCGACCATTGTTGGCCCCGCCCTACCCCTGAGGGTCATAATTTGAACAAACTTGAATCTACACTACCTGAGGATGCTTCCATATAAATATAATCAATTATGGCTTTGCTATTCTTGAGAAGAAGATTTCTAAAGAATTTTCCTATATATTTCTATGTAAAACTTTGGTCGGCCATTTTGGCCCCGCCCTACACCTGGGGGTCATGATTTGAACAAACTTGAATCTACACTACCTAAGGATGCTTCCATATAAATATGATCAATTATGGCTTTGCTATTCTTGAGAAGAAGATTTTAAAAGAATTTTCCTATATATTTCTATGTAAAACTTTGGTCGGCCATTTTGGCCCCGCCCTACCCCTGGGGGTCATGATTTGAACAAACTTGAATCTACACTACCTGAGGATGCTTCCATATAAATATAATCAATTATGGCTTTGCTATTCTTGAGAAGAAGATTTCTAAAGAATTTTCCTATATATTTCTATGTAAAACTTTGGTCGGCCATTTTGGCCCCGCCCTACACCCGGGTGTCATGATATCAACAAAATAGACTCTACACTACATGAGGATGCTTCCATATAAATATGATCAATTATGGCTTTGCTATTCTTGAGAAGAAGTTTTTTAAAGAATTTTCCTATATATTTCTATGTAAAACTTTGGTCGGCCATTTTGGCCCCGCCCTACCCCTGGGGGTCATGATTTGAACAAACTTGAATCTACACTACCTGAGGATGCTTTCATATAAATATGATCAATTGTGGCTTTGCTATTCTTGAGAAAAAGATTTCTAAAGAATTTTCCTATATATTTCTATGTAAAACTTTGGTCGACCATTTTGGCCCCGCCCTACCCCTGAGGGTCATGATTTGAACAAACTTGAATCTACAATACCTGAGGATGCTTCCATATAAATATGATCAATTATGGGTTTGCTATTCTTGAGAAGAAGATTTCTAAAGAATTTTCCTATATATTTCTATGTAAAACTTTGGTCGGCCATTTTGGCCCCGCCCTACCCCTGGGGGTCATGATTTGAACAAACTTGAATCTACACTACCTAAGGATGCTTCCATATAAATATGATCGATTATGGCTTTGTTGTTCTTGAGGAGAAGATTTTTAAAGAATTTTCCTATATATTTCTATGTAAAACTTTGGTCGGCCATTTTGGCCCCGCCCTACCCCTGGGGGTCATGATTTGTACAAACTTGAACCTACACTACCTGAGGATGTTTCCCCATAAGTTTCATCTTTCCTGGCACAGTGGTTCTTGAGAAGAAGATTTTTAAAACTTGCCACCAAATTTTCATTAATTCCCAATTATCTCCCCTTGAATGAAGGCATGGCCCTTCATTTGAACAAACTTGAATTCCCTTTACCCAAGGATACTTTGTGGCAAGTTTGGTTGAAATTGGCCCAGCGGTTCTTGAGAAGTCGAAAATGTGAAAAGTTTACAGACAGACGGACAGACAGACGGACGGACGGACGCCGGACAAAATGTGATCAGAAAAGCTCACTTGAGCCTTCGGCTCAGGTGAGCTAAAAAGGATTTAATGAATGGACATTGGATTATAATCTGTGAAATGTATAGGGATAGTATTTTTTAGAAATTCTTGACGCAATGTTTTGACGTTACATTGCCGTTAAGTGTGCTCCGCGGGTACAAAACATGTTGATTTTAAACTGAAGTAAATTGATTTCGGTTAAATCGAATGGAATGAAACTTTACACATCAACAAAACAAATATTTTAACATATTAGATAATAATAAATAGATTACATTCTTTAATAACGGAAATAAAATTGTACACGTGCATAACAAACTTCAAAATTCGTTTAAAATGGACTATTTTTTAGCAGCCAATCAATAACCAAAGCTAACAGGCTCCGCTCCTTCATTTACATACCGTTTCCCAAAGCGTACCGTTCACAAAACGAACCGTTCCTTGCAAGAAACGAAACGTACCGTCCACAAAGCGTACCGTTCCGTGCATAAAGCGAACTGTACCGTGCACAAAGCGTACCGTTCCGTGTACAAAGCGTACCGAACCGTACCGTACAAGTGGTGTAGTAGCACGATTTAGGATCTGTACTTACTTAGGCCTGTCGTTCCGTGAGGAACATAAGCCATCAACGACAAACCTCAAACGGACATATCATCCTAGCCCTACATATATTTTTATAAGCATAGGATATACTGTAAAACACTCTTAACATGCAATGTGCCAAGGATGGAGGAGTTTGTTTCATTATAAGCCCAATTTGTTATATTTGTTAATTAAGTTTATATTTTATTTTTAAGCCATGGGGAATGGAAATCACTGAGCTGTAAGCATCAATTCATTATAAGTCTGTTCGCTATAAGTGTGTTTTAATGTCTAGAACATTATAGGTGTATTAACTTTTTATAGTTATAATTTTTCAATGGGTATAACTTTTTTGTAACTTTTTCATAACTTTATAATAAGCATAACTTTTTTAGTTATAACTTTTTAAAGGTTTAACTTTTCATGGGTACCTGTATAACTTTTTCAGGTATAACTTTTTTGTAACTTTTTCCAATGTTTACATGGGTATAACTAAAGTATAACTTAGTAACTTTTTTTATAACTTTTTGTGTAACTTTTAATAATTAAGACTTTTTGTAGTTATAACTTTTTTGTAACTTTGATACACTTGCTGTATATTTATGTTGAATAAAAGTTGAAAAGTTATACAAAAGTTATAACTTTTTTTGTTTTTAAGTTATAATTAAATTATACCTCACTTAAAAACATGCCGCTTTTGCGGTTCCAAATTACGATAACTTAATTTTAACTTTTTTGTAACTTTTTTTAGTTACAAAAGCTATAACTAAGTTATAATTTTTTGGTATGGGAAAAAACACCATTTATGAAAGTTATATATATATATTATATACATAACTCATGTCACAAAAATTTGGAGACCTTCAAGACACTAAGAAATCAATTTTAAGACAGCTAGGCCTCTAGGTAACCTCTAAAATTTGGGGACCAGCTGCCACCTACAGTCAAACAAACATTAGTCACAAATGCAAATTTTTAGTTGCCAAGCAATTCTTTTGAGGCAAAAGTTAACAATATACTGTAAAACAAGAATATTTGGTGCACTACTAATTTTAGCGCCTTTGGAACAAGAGCCCCTGAACGCAAAAATTTATTGTGGGCTTACGGATTTCTAAACATTATTTTGTGTGCATGTGTTCACTGGTTCGAATCCCACTGTGGGATGTGGAGACTGGTCCTTTGGATGAGACTGTATAAACCGAGGTCCTGTGTCGCAGTACGTGCTGGCACGAAAAAGATCCCAGAATGGTCAATGGCCCAGAGTGACGAGTAAAGGACAAAATTTGTAGCTCTCCTTTGCAGCAAGTGGTGCACATGGCGTCTCCATATGAGTGAAAAATTCTCAAGAGGGACGTTAAACAACATACAATCAATCAATCAAAGCTTTTACATAAGTAGGCACTAAATGTAAACCAGAATTCATGATTATGTAATGCCCAAGGGTTACTGGATTTTTTATATACACGCTAGTGGACAGATGAGAAATTTTTTAAGAGTTATTTTGAAAAGTCAGCCCAGACTTGTGGATTTATTTTATTCAATTTGTAGTCGCTCCAAGACTATTTGTGAGATGTCCAGGTAATTTAATTGAAATTGGTGATCATTTATTTATGATTTATAAAAATTTATATTTTCTGAACTTCGGGTGGTCCCTTAAATCTAGCAAGTGACGTTGTGTAACCATATTTTGAAATATAAATTGTAGTTAATTTTATTAAATATCATTATTAATTTTGGAATATCAGAATATAGGGATGTTTGCATTGCTAAAAAACAAATGGGTGACCAAGAAAACACATGTCCATTGCTAAGAAAAATTTCCCCTTTTTAAAATTTCTTTCGAATCTATAGAAAAATAAAAATTGTTAAAAATGTTAAAAGTTCCAGAATTCGACAATTACCAAGTCAGTTTAAATGGTTGCCAATCTAGCAACTTCTGGAAAAATATTGGGTGCCATGGTGACTAACATGTAAGGTACCAAATCCAATGAATTATTACATGCACAACCTTTCAACTCTACACAGTTAAACTATAATCTTAAACTCAATGGAACTGAGAAACAAGAGGCCCATGACCAACAATGCTCACCTGAGTGTAACTTTGGCTCTGCTGATCTTCACCTGATTTTTTCTCCCTTTGTAATACCAAATGTGGCCCTGCCCTAGTATCCCATGAGTCATGATGTTAATTTAGAATCTACTCTACCCTAGCTAGGATGCTTCAACATAAGTTTCAGCTTTTCTGGCCCATATTGATTCTTGAGAAGATTTTAAAAGATTTTTCTATATACACATGTATTTTTGTAGTTCGAATTTTAATGCAAAAATTATATTGTCAAATGTAGCATCATCCTATCTTGGGGGGGGGGGGGTCATAATTTGAACAATTTAGAATCTACACTACCCCATGAATGCTTCCACATACTTGTAAGTTTCAATTTTTCTATTTTCTGGCCTGGTAGTTCTTTAGAAGATTTTAAGATATTTAAAACATATCTTAATGTGTAAATTATATACCCTTTTTTAGCCCTGCCCTATCAATGGTTCATGATTTGAACAAATTAAAATCTACATTACCCTATGATGCACCTACATAGTTTTCATTTTTTTTAGCCCATTGGTTCTTAAGAAGAAGATTCTTTCCAATAAATTTCAATGTTAAACTTAAGATTCCCTATTGTGGCCCCACACTATCCCTGGGGGTCATACTTGGAACAAATCAAAATCTTCACTACCCCCAGAATGCTTCTACCATGTCTACATAGGTTTGATCTTTTTTGACTCTGCAGTTCTTGAGAAGATTTTTTTTCTATATGTAAAAATTAGATTAACTAATGTGCCCCTGCCCTACCCTCAAAGATCATAAATTGAACAATTTAGAATCTACAATACCCCAGGATGCTTTTAAATAAGATTCAGATTTTCATCAGTGTTTCTTGAGAAGATTTCTAAAACATTTTTTAAACATATTTCAAAGTAATTTTTATTAATGACCCCACCTTATTTTTGTCTTTTCTTGATTATTTCCCCTTGGAAGGGGGCTTGGCTTTTCATTTTCAAAAAACTCCCCTTCACTAAAGGATGCTTTGGTGAAAATTGGCCGAGTGATTCTTGAGAAGAAGTAGAAAATGTTAAAAGTTTACAGATTGATGGACGGACAGACAGATATCAAAAAGATGACAGACAACGGGTGATCAGAATTGTTCACTTGAGATTTCAGCTCAGTTGAGCTAAAAACTTATATCTGAGGGTCTGAGATACTGAGAGCAAGTTTAGTACCTAAAGAAAATGTGCTTGACACTTCAAATCACTTTGACATATTCATGATAGGTGTTCAAGACAACTAAATTCAGCTGCATGTACATCAATATTTTTAAAAATTATATAGTTTTTAAAATAAATTTTTCAAACCTGATGAATTGCTTGCAGTTGGGGTTAGGTCTTCAATCTGTTCCTGGCCTATATATTGTTGCTCTTTTAATCTCCTGCCAAGCTCATTTAATGCTTCTCCACTTCTTCCAACAAGCAAAATATTTCCCTCAAATAAATGTGCTGAAATATTGCCTCTGTGATATTCTGAGCTCATTTCTTTGCATTTTTTTTGGAGTAAATCTTCATCAGTGAGAATTGCTTTTGCTCTAATAACTTTTATGTTGTAGGTGTTTTTTACACTGTTAATGGCATCTTCTATTTCACCTCTGATGGTGGTAGGATCAGCAGAAACTTTGGAACCAAGTCCAATGTTAACTTCTTCACTAACTTCAGGAAATTTATACCCCATGCTTGAAAGGATTTTTTGAAGATCATCCTTTGTGTCTTTATTTTCCACCAGAAACATTAGTGTGAAGAAATCTGTAAGACTGCAAAATATTCTAAACACATATTTTTGGACTTCCCTATAAAGCAGAGGTATCTCAAAAGTCCGGTCATTTTCTTCAGATTCCCTGTCAATGTCTTCACAACAGACATTAAGGTCTGTTACAGTAGATTCTGAAAAAGAACAAAATGGTTACTCCTAAACTTTAAATATCAATTCAGTGATTGATGTAATTGATATGCAAAATATTCACACACATTTAAAATTGTCTTCTTTTTAACCATTTAAAAGTAAAATTTAAAGACATACAGTCAAACCTGTATTAAGGAGTCACCTATGGGATGCATGAAAGGTGACCATAATTTATAGTTAGAGATGACCTTTAAATAGAGGTTCATCTTTTATATACAAATATGCTTTTGTGCACGGACTGTGAAATTCACAAATTTTGTTTCCCTTCACCTATACTGTAAAAATGGTTATTTACACTGGTTGATAAGAATGTGTTATAGATAAAAAAAATTATGGAGTGATTGCATGTTCATAATTAACATGGAGTTGTTCTCCTTTGAAAACCTTTACAGAAATTTCTGATAAGTGACTTCCCTGTTATAAGCGATTTATTCTTTTACTTATAAGTTGTTTATTCTGGACTTACACTTCACTGATACATTTAATTTATAAGTGATTAATATGTTACTCATTAGGATTTTATATGCAAATGAGCTGCTCGACCTATAAGTGACTTATAAGCCACTATTAGCCACTTATGCTTTATGCAAGTATAGTCACTTATAAGTGATTATAAGTGACTTATAAGTCAAGCATTAACCCTTCATACTTTATCAAGTATTAAAACATTTTTGTTATGTAATCCTTTGTGTTTTTAGTACATTATATAGCATAATATATTTGGATATTTAAAACCTGTACATTAAGTCACCTGTAACTGTACATTAAGTTGGCAAAACTCTCAATTCTTAACTTAATCTACAGCTTTTTGTCAACTTAATGTACAATTACAGGTAACTTAATGTACAGGCTTTAAATGTTGAAAACAATACTTAGTCACTTATAAGTGTCTTTAAGTGACTTATAAGTGAAGTACAACACTACCTGTAAGATCTTAATTTAGAACAGAACTTCCAACCATGCAGGGGTTGCATGATATGTTCAGAGCTATTTTTTACATATACACATGTATCTGCACTTTAGATGATATAATCAAGTAAAAATTTTATGGAAAAAAATCTCTTTCATATGAAATTTCTTTGATGATGCAAACTTAACATATTAATTCAGTTTACAAACAAAAATGTTGAACAAAAAGGCAACAAGATTTAATGACCTTGAGGCTTCTTCAAATTTATTAAATCTGAAAGCAACTGAGTCAATTAATTCAAAATTTCAGGCAAAGGAAGTTAAAATAGAGAGATGATGTAAATAGAACCTACTTGTTGTACCTGATGTGAAGGCATACTCAAAATAAATCTAAAATCATCCTTTCACAGACACAAACTTGGTTTCAAATTCTTGTTGCTGATCTCTGCAGAGACAAACTTTCTGACTGGCTACCTTGAATACCCATAATGCTCCTTGAGAGAAGTCTAGTATAGGGTAAAAATTCTAAGTCCACACTTATACTTCGCTCATATTATACTGATCTTCACTTATAAGTGAGGTATAAGTGAAATATTCACTGATATGTAGCTCATCTTTACTTATAAGTGAAGTATTAACAAAATCCGTTCCTCACTTATACTTACTTTGACTTATAGTACACTTATAAGTAAATTTCAAAATTTATAAGTGACTTATAAGTTGCTAATAATGGATTATAAAACACTTATAAGTAATTCTATTAGTTCTTTCTGTAATAGAATTACAAATAATTCCAAACAAAACAGAAAAGGATTTATGATATTACACTTTCATGTAAATTAGTTGAATCTGATTGGTCGAGAAACATTTGTTAAAAAACACTATTACCCACTGAATAATGAAGCCACGCCCTCCAGCGTAGCAACATTCAACATTGCTTGACGACAGGTGATATTCCAAAAAATAGCGACTGCGCAGAATTTATGCGCACACGGTTTACTGTTAAATGTATTTGTATAAAACATTCAGTATAATATAATATATATTGCATGTAGTTGAGTGTACAGTGTAACATTGAAAATTTTCACCCCTCAAAAACCATTGTCAACCTCGGCTGTGCCTCGGTTAAAAAAAATTAAGGTACTGTATGAAACTCTTTTCATAGGATACCTACTTTTGCAAATAAAATTATTTTAAATTAATTGCTTTAATATTTTACTTTCTATCGATATCTATTCATACATAAACAATCTTCATTACAACCAAAGATCATTCCATAATTCCTTATACTTCTCGAGATATTCTGAAATCAATTCCCAAATCGACCTAAATTTTTTTACTTGACATCATCTTGCCAAGGCCAAAATAAAATTATAGTTTGTTTGGAATTGCCGCCCACCTCATTGAAATGCCCCCCGCCGAAAAAATTTTATTGGCAAAAAAAAAGAACTTTTTTTTTATTGTTTTTTTTTAACCGTATTACAATGTTAACGAGTTCTTTATAACGTCGGGTTTGGTATCCGTATAAATTAAACAACGCAGATCAATAAAACCCTTTTTTCGTAGTATTCATAATACTACAATTACAAGCACCTAAGTAAACACAAGAGGCCCAGGGGCCACAGCGCTCACCTGAGCACATCAGGCTTGAATTTACTCCCCCCCACCCCCCCCCCACTCCAGGCGTTCATCATTTAAACAAACTAGAATCTACACTACCTGAGGATGATTCCATATAAATATCACTAATCATAGCTTTGAAGTACTTGAAAAGAAGATTTTAAAAGGTTTCCCTGTATATATCCCTATGTAAAACTTGGGTTGGCCATTTTGGCCCCACCCTTACCTCGGGGGTCATGATTTGAACAAACTTGAATCTACACTACCTGAGGATGATTCCACATGAGTTTCATCTTTCATGGCCCAGTGATTCTGGAGAAGAAGATTTTTAAAGATTTTTCCTATATATTCCTATGTAAAACTAGGGTTGGCCATTTTGACCACACCTTTGCCCCAGGGGTCATGATTTGAACAAACTTAAATCTGCTCTACCTGAGGATGATTCCACATGAGTTTCATCTTTCCTGGCCCAGTGGTTCTGGAGAACAAGATTTTTAAAGATTTTTTCTATATATTCCTATATAAAACTTGGGTCGGCCATTTTGGCCCCGCCCTAGCCCCGGGGGTCATGATTTGAACAAACTTAAATCTGCTCTACCTGAGGATGATTCCACATGAGTTTCATCTTTCCTGGCCCAGTGGTTCTGGAGAAGAAGATTTTTAAAGATTTTTCTTATATATTCTTATGTAAAACTTGGGTCGGCCATTTTGGCCCCACCCTAGCCCCAGGGGTTATGATTTGAACAAACTAGAATCTACACTACCTGAGGATGATTCCACATGAGTTTCATCTTTCCCGTCCTAGTGGTTCTTGAGAAGAAGATTTTTCTTATATATTCCTATGTAAAACTAGGGTCGACCATTTTGGCCCCATCCTTGCCCCGGGGGTCATGATTTGAACAAACTTAAATCTGCTCTACCCGAGGATGATTCCACATGAGTTTCATCTTTCCTGGCCCAGTGGTTATGGAGAAGAAGATTTTTAAAGATTTTTCCTATATATTCCTATGTAAAACTTGGGTCGGCCATTTTGGCCCCACCCTAGCCCCGGGGGTCATGATTTGAACAAACTTGAATCTACACTACCTGAGGTTGCTTCCACATGAGTTTCATCTTTCCTGGCCCAGCGGTTCTGGAGGAGAAGATTTTTTTAAAATGCCATTAATTTTTAACAAATTCATGATTATCTCCCCTTGGAAAAGGGGTGGCCCTTCATGTGAACAAATTTGAATCCCCTTCACCCAAGGATACTTTTTGCCAAGTTTGGTTGAAATTGGCCCAGTGGTTCTTGAGAAGAAGATGAAAATGTGAAAAGTTTACGACAACAACGACAACGACGACAACAACGACAGACGACGGACAAATTTTGATCAGAAAAGCTCACTTGAGCCTTCGGCTCAGGTCAGCTAAAAATGGAAAGTATTAATGTTGAGGAGGTTTAAACTGGAATTTTTTTCATGGATTTGCTTTTTTGTAGCAACTTAATTTCCTTGTGTTTGCTTTCCATCAATTTTTTTTCTTACATTTTTTTTTTGGTTTCTGGACATATTTTACCTTTATTTCATACTCCTTTTTTGTTTTTTGAATACCGTCCTATTTTGTTTTCATTGCCATCCGATTATATATTTATTGGACAAGTAATTATTATCTGACGGCTACAGGTAAATTTTTTTTATAATGCAAGAACAAAGGCATGACATCACAGCAATGTTTTCATTAAATTTTATTCAGTGGTATAAGAGAAATTGCGGATAAGAGATGGATACCCTTCAATATTATAGAAAGAATGGCAGGTGAATGTTCCACTATGGGAAACCGAAAATGTGTCCAGTCAAAATATAAAATAAAAGGTGCCCAATGGCACTATGTAACAAATATTTTGTGAAAGTTTCATTATATTTCATTTAGTGGTATAAGGTCCTGGAGGAGTTGCAAGATAGGAGATAGGTACCCTAAAACGTAACAGACAGACGGATGTACAGCTAGACAGGTGGACGGACACCCCGATCACTAACCTCCTACTTTTCAAGCAGGGGGTATTAAAAATATACATGCAGAATTATGAATCTTGGACAGGTTGTAATTATATGATTTAAATCATACTAAAGCTAAAAGAGAACTAGGATCTTAAAAGAACTTGACAATAATTTCTGTTTTAAAATTAACTTTATTATATCCCCGGCTTGAAAAGTGGGAGGGTATACAGTAATCGGGATGTCCATCTGTCTGATATGCTTTGGGTTACCCATCTCTTATCCATATTTTCTCTCATACCACAAAATGAAATTTGATGAGACTTTCACAGAATCTTTATTACATATTGCCATTGGGCACCTCCTATTTTACTTTTTGATCTGAGACATATTTTGGGTTTCTCATGGCAAAACATGGACACTGCCATTATATTCATATGGGAGATGGTGGTATAATTTAGTGAGCTCATTGCTCACAGTACCTCTAGGTTGATAGTAAGAAAAACTAGAGGTACTTGTGAGTATTGTCAATGCTCACTAAATATGTGTCCAATCAAAATTAAACAGAAGGTGCACAATTGGTACTACTACTATATAAATACAACAAATATTCTGTGAAAAGTCTCCTTAAATATCACTTATTGGTGTAAGAGGAGTTAGGGATAACTTGAGAGATGGGTACAGGATAGACAGATGAATGGAAACCAAATCACTACAGTGGAACCTTATTTATCCGTATACTTTTGTACCTAGTCAATTTGTCCGGATATGTGAAGCGTCCGGATACCTGAATTACCAGTTAAACAAGACAAATTAAATAACGTTAAAAAATTCTGTTCCCATGAAAAATCATACAGATACTGAAGCGTCCGCTATCTGGTGTCTGGATATCTGAAGGTCCACTGTATATACCCCCATCCCCTCTGCCTTTCAAGAAGGGTGTTTTTAAGTGAATACCCAGTATTAAATTAGATTAAAAATAATGACATGCAGAAATATGTACCCCGGTACAGTGGAGTCACCAATTCCGGGTCGTCTCCAATTTCAGGTCACTCGCATGTATTTTATGCCATATTGTTAAAATTTAAGCGCAAAAAAACTCATGAATACGCTGGTCGTGAAGAACTGGTCTTTCTGTCTGTAATTAATTACAAAATTTTGAATATCAACTTTAAGAGAGCATCCGACAATCGAAATTCTGAAACGCACGCATTATAGACTTGGATGTTTCTGCTACGGTGACGGGCTACTTTCGTTTTTGTTCGCTGCAAAAAGGCTGATATAAAAGTTCTAGATAAATAATGAGAGCTTGAAAGTATGGCAAATGCATTTAGTTTCAACTCAGAAATCAATCATAATGATCGCTGCCTAAATAAATCATAATGATTATTAAATTAAACTGTAGTAGTTTCTCCAGTTGCGCGTCACGTAATCTCGTGGCATGAACATTTCAAAATTCTATGTACAAAACCAATCGATAACCATGTATTTACCTTGATTATCAAAAGTATTCTAACTGAAAAATATTTTTTCTAAAAATTTAAATCGAGTTAACCCTTCAAATGCATTTTTTAAATAAATGAATTTAATTGTATTATTTTTAATCCTCATACATTTTTTTTTAATTCTGCATACTGCAATTTGTTTTGTTGTAATTGTTTTAAAAATAATTTAAACATATTTCTGTGGTTGTTTTACTTTTTTCCCAAGCTGCATGAATTGATTTATGTTACAACATCATAAAAATTGTATTCCGAAACTGAAGGGACATAACTCTGTCAAAAATTTCTTGATCAAACCTTAAACAGAACCTGACTAAATATTTCTAAGATAAATCTGTATGCTAAATTTCATTTCAGTATGTGCAACTGCTGTGAAGAAAATGTCGAAAAGAAATAATTGAAATTTTCTAAGTCCAAGGAGCATAACTCTGTCTAAAATGGCTTGATTGTACCCAAAACAGAACTTATCCTAGTAGATATTCTAATGATAAATCTGTATACCAAATTTCATATCAGTATGTGCAACCACTGTGAAGAAAATGAACAGAAACTTGGTAGACCGACAGACTTACTGACAGACAACAGAGAAGCAATGTGTCCTCCCTTCTTCAAAAGGAGGCATAAATATAAGCTCTTTTCTTCTTTGACTATAGCCGACCCACGAATTTAAAACTACAGAAATACATGATGTAATGAAATTAAAACTTGCCTGACACACTTCCATCTTGTCCAACAAATAACTGTACACCTTCATCTGATCCCGGATTTTTAGTTTGGTTTTCTAGTGGGGTCGGTAGAAATTCAACTGAAGTACCTGAAAGATTAGATTTCAGTGAGACTGGAGAAATTATAGACAAACCATAAATCAGGAAATTTTAACTGTTACAATGATAAATTTTAAGCTTGCATTGCAATTGCTTAAAACATAATTATTTGCTTGTAAGGCTCAATATATAAATTTTACATGTACATGTATTTTAGAAGAACTTGGATTTAATTCTACAACTAGTGGTACTGGGGTAATCCAACTTATACTCATAGTTCCCTTTCTAAGGAGAAAATTCTTTAAAATCATATGTCAATCTTGAAAATTTTTAATATCCCAAAGAACAAAAATGATTTTGAACTATAAGTGAGATTGAGACCAAAAGTGAGCTCGTCTAAATTTTATGGCCCCCAGGCTTGCTTTTCAGTGAAAATGAAACTCATAAATTAAAGATATATATGCAGTATTAGTGTTTTATTTTTAAAGAAATAAATAAATGTAGTATCTCATCAAGTTATATAAGTTACATACTTTCTGCAAATAAGACAATCCCACTCAATCACATCAAAAAGTTATGAAATATTATTTAGTAAAACTTATTTTCTCTCCGAATCAGATATTAAACCGCCCCTTATTGAAATATTCATGCTCACAGCAAACAGCGGTCCAATCTCATGAATGAGCCGAAAAGCATGATGGGCTACTACATGTTTATTTTACTACAAACACGTGGGTTAGGGAAATTTAGGATGCAATTTCAAATGACTGCTGGAAAGCCAATTAAAAATTTTTTGAACGTGTTTGAGAAAAATACGAAGAATAGATATTAATTAAGAATTCCCATGCTCACTTTAACAAACAAATTCAGGTTTCCTTGTTCAAAAATACTTTGAAATACCGCTCACAAAGTCTCCACAAGTAAATAAGACTCCAGATTTTAAACTCAATATTCGTAAATTTGCAATATAACTGGTTGAATTAACTGTTGCTTAGTTATTTGTTTCTAAAAATTTAAAGTTCATTCATTTATAAAAAGAAGAAAAGACTTAAGTTGCACGTTTTTTTTTAAAAAAAAATCCCCTCTGTATTAATTCTCATGTGCATTGATCGTAGAACGTGTGTTGAGTAGCATACTTGTCTGTGTGTTTCGAAGTTGTATACATGTACTTTGTAAACATTGTCAATACGTGAGCACACCTCAAAGTTAATTGCTTTTTGTACCATGGAATAGTCATGTGAAATTGACTTTTCACTGAAATCACAGCAAGGAGAAAGCTGTAAACAAACAGACTTGTACAATGGGGCGAGGAAAACCCTAATTTTTATCATTGTTAATCATTTGTATGTATATGTGAGCATGGGATTAGTAGATATAACAAGAGGCCCAGGGGCCACAGCGCTCACCTGAGCACATCAGGCTTGAATTTACTCCCCCCCCCCCCCTCCAGGCGTTCATCATTTGAACAAACTAGAATCTACACTACCTGAGGATGATTCCATATAAATATAAAAAATCATAGCTTTGAAGTACTTGAAAAGAAGATTTTAAAAGGTTTCCCTATATATCCCTATGTAAAACTTGGGTCGGCCATTTTGGCCCCACCCTTGCCCCGGGGGGTCATGATTTGAACAAACTTAAATCTGCTCTACCTGAGGATGATTCCACATGAGTTTCATCTTTCCTGGCCCAGTGGTTCTGGAGAAAAAGATTTTTAAAGATGTTTCCTATATATTCCTATGTAAACTTGGGTCGGCCATTTTGGCCCCACCCTAGCCCCGGGGGTCATGATTTGAACAAACTTGAATCCACACTACCTGAGGATGATTCCACATGAGTTTCATCTTTCCTGGCCCAGTGGTTCTGGAGAAAAAGATTTTAAAAGATTTTTCCTATATATTCCTATGTAAAACTTGGGTCGGCCATTTTGGCCCCACCCTTGCCCCGGGGGTCATGATTTGAACAAACTTGAATCTACACTACCTGAGGATGCTACCACATGAGTTTCATTTTTCCTGGCCCAGCGGTTCTGGAGAAGATGATTTTTTAAAATGCTATAAATTTTTCACAAATTCATAATTATCTCCCCTTGGAAGGGGGCGTGGCCCTTCATTTGAACAAACTTGATTCCCCTTCACCCAAGGATATTTTGTGCCAAGTTTGGTTGAAATTGGCCCAGTGGTTCTTGAGAAGAAGAAGAATATGTGAAAAGTTTACGACAACAACGACGACGACGACGACAGACAACAGACAAATTTTGATCAGGAAAGCTCACTTGAGCCTTCGGCTCAGGTGAGCTAATAATGTACATAATGCATTAAGCATGTAAAATGCTTGGAAAAACGATCACGTCTTTCCGAGAGCGATTTAAAAAAAAGCCTTATCGAAAAACACATGTACATGTAGCATTTTATGTAGTAACCTGTAATCCAACTCATTGACAATAGTTTCCTAGACCTGATGATTCTCGCGATACTTTTACTGTGCACATACGCAGATCCAGCATAAACGTCAATCCTTCATAAATATGCATTAGAATATCATGTTCTTTTCCTGACCAGTACTTTGTTAATAACGAATAATATTTCGTCGAATTTGCAAGAATGCTTTATTTTTTATAGCTTATCATACTTTTTTACAGGAATTTTTGTTTGGTTTCAGTTGTGCAAAAATACTGTTTAACACGGCATATATATCTTTAAACAAATAAGTTGATGAAACAAGAATTTCAACAGTTTTTTTCAATAAAAATGAAACTTGTGATACATGTATTAAACAATCAAGTTAATGAAACAAGAATATCAACAGTCTCGTTTAAAGTAATCATTTCATAAGTTCTATGGTCTATACAATGACCTTGTCAGGAAATATAATATATCATTGAGTCAAATTCTGACTGACATTTTTCATACGAAATGTTAGTCCATTATTTATACATTGTCGATGTATTTTTTCATTTCCCTATCTTGAAAAGGAGCACACGGCAGGTGTAACTGGCTTGCAGGGGATGCTCTCTCATCCATGGCACCTGATCCAACCTCTGATGTTTCAAAGGTTCATGTTTGCTCTGTTCCTGTTTTGTATTGTTTTATGGACTTTTAACCCCATTCCCCGCTGTCACGCATTTTAACGCATATACCATTTCCTATTTCTAACGCAAAATCACGCATATACCGTTTCCCCGCAATCACGCATTTTCATGCACTTTAAAAAGTTCATTTAATCTTTAATTTAGTACCAATTTCCTTCTATTTTTAATTTGCAAACATCTCATAAAATAAGAACAGTTATTTTTGTATTAAAATATAACGTCATAATATTATTAACGCTAAACTTTAGAGAAACGTGTACCACGCTAAAAGGTACTTGCGGGGAAATGGTAAATTTCTACTTCTATGACATGAACATTAAGTGTATGTTGCATAACAGTTCAGTAAGTTGTAAAGAGTTAAGCTTGAATACTGTTGGTATCTCCATATGTTTCATTCTAAGTGCAAGGGGCATAACTCTGTCAAATCTCTCAATTGTACCCAAAATTTTACTTGACCTAGATATTCTTATCATAAATCTGTATAACACTGAAATTTATTTCAATATGTGCAACCTCTACAAAGAAAATGAGAAGAAACTTGTGGACTGATAGACAGACTGATCAACTGGCTGACCGACCAACAGATAGCAGCAAAGCAATATGTCCTCCATTCTTCAAAGGGAGGCATAAATGTAAGCTCTTTCTATTTTTGACCAGCCAATCCACAAAGAAGACGGTACGGTTTGAGCTTTATTGTGCCCTAAAAATTTAATGTTCTTAAAAAGTTATGAAATTAGCTTCAACAATAGTTCAGTACATGAATATGATAAATCATTAAAGAATATGGCATGAAGAAGAGCCTTTCTTGAAATATGACGTCATTAATCTGGTACATTTTTAAGTTTAAAACAGAAAAGCTTCAAAATGACTCGTTTTACTGCTAATTTTCCTTTAGAAAATAGTGTCTGCCACCGTCGCCCGCTTTAAATTTTGGATATATTGTGCAAACAGCCATGAAAAATCAAATATCTCAAAATCTTTCCGGGCGACGGTGGCAGAGTATGTTTTCTGAAAGAAAGTTCCACTGAAAATTGATGTCTTCTGCAACTTTTTAAGAAAATACGGGAAAATGCACAAGTTAATGACGTCACAATTAGCATTTACGAGGTCATATGAGAAAAATTATTTGTGTATTCTTACTGCAAAGAATTCATATGATTCAGAAAGAATGAATTTTAAATTCTTAAATCACTTTCATATTTTTAGAAAAAATATAGGGCTTTATTTGTATTCTTTAAAACTACATATAAACATGATGTAATGAAATTAAAACTTGCCGGACAAACTTTCATCTTCTACAACAATAATCTGTACACCTACATCTACCCCAGGATCTCCAGAAATATGTTTTGAGTCATCTCTACATGCCTATAAAGAAATGTTTATTCTCTAAAGTAAAAAAAAACAAATCATATAGAACACAGACAATAATATAACTTTATTTGAAGGAAATTTTGCTTTGACTTAATTTAGCAATTGAACAACTATGATTCCCCCAAAATCATGGTGTTTTAGAATATTTACAAGTTTTATTTTTTTTTTTACAATATTTACAATATTTACAAGTTTTATTTTTTTTAAAGTGGAGCTGTACCTGAATAAAGAATATTTTTGGTATGCCTTTTAATTCTGGATCTTTGAATATTTCAACTATTTTCCGCACCGAGACACGTTCATCTTCAAAATTTGGTGAGAATTCGGTTTTTCCTTTTTCTGGATGTGTCAAAACGTAATCCTCATATGTTGCCACATTGCCTGTCTGTCCGTTTTGCGGTAGAATGACTCCATGGGAAGACACTGTCACCAAAATGCATCCACACGAGCCATTACAGCAAAGTCCTTTAACTTCAACATGTTAAACAAACATTTAAGAACATCTCACATCACAATATCAAAGCACAAAACATGAATTCATTGAGATCATTTAAAACATTAATGAAACTTTTTGTAATTCTGTCCACCAACATCACTCTCTTTCAAACCAGAAGTCTGTGTCGAGACTATAGCTCAACTGGTTTGTACTTTAAACAAAGAAAGGTGGCATTTGGGACTTGAAACTTAACAACAGCAATAAACAGAATAATGATCATGTATCTCAGTGTACAATACTTGCATGCCACATTATACGTGTACTATAATCAGACTAAAACTGCATTTGGAATTGCATTTTTAGCTCACCTGAGCTGAAAGCTCAAGTGAGCTTTTCTGATCACATTTTGTCCGTCGTCCGTCTGTCTGTCCATCTGTAAACTTTTCACATTTTCGACTTCTTCTCAAGAACCGCTGGGCCAATTTCAACCAAACTTGCCACAAAGCATCCTTCGGTAAAGGGGATTCAAGTTTGTTCAAATGAAGGGCCACGCCTTCATTCAAGGGGAGATAATTGGGAATTAATGAAAATTTGGTGGTATGTTTTAAAAATCTTCTTCTCAAGAACCACTGTGCCAGGAAAGATGAAACTTATGTTGAAACATCCTCAGGTAGTGTAGATTCAAGTTTATTCAAATCATGACCCCTGGGGTTAGGGTGGGGCCAAAATGGCCGACCAAAGTTTTACATAGCAATATATAGGAAAATTCTTTAAAAATCTTCTTCTCAAGAATAGCAAAGCCATAATTGATCATATTTATATGGAAGCATCATCAGGTAGTGTAGATTCAAGTTTGTTCAAATCATGACCCCCTGGGGTAGGGCGGGGCCAAAATGGCCGACCAAAGTTTTACATAGAAATATACAGGAAAATTCTTTAAAAATCTTCTTCTCAAGAATAATAAAGCCATAATTGTTCATATTTATTTGGAAGCATCCTCAGATAGTGTAGATTCAAGTTTGTTCAATTCATGACCCCCGGGGGTAGGTTGGGGCCAAAATGGCCGACTAAAGTTTAACATAGAAATATATGAGAAAATTCTTTAAAAATCATCTTCTCAAGAATAGCAAAGCCATGACTGGTCATGGGACTACTTTTGGATTTAAACTTTTCAATAATAAATCAATTTCTACTTTTTCCCAGCCACAGTGCTCAGGTGAGCGATGTGGCCCATGGGCCTCTTCTTTAAGTATTTCACAGAAATTTCTTATTTCTAGTAACCATGGCAACACCATTCATCGAAATCAAAAACCAATACACAGAATTATGTATCTTAGTGTAGTCTACTTGTGTGCCAAGTTATATTGAAATCGTACCAAAACTGTAGGAGGAGTAGCATTTTGAATGTTTTTCACAGAAATGTCTATTTTTAGTAACCACGGCAACACCGTTCATTGAAATCAAAAACCGATATACAGAATTATGTATCGAAGTGGTCTACTTGTGTGCCAAGTTATATTGAAATCAGACCAGAACTGTAGGAGGAGTAGCATTTTTTTTTTAAAATTGTTTACAGACAGACAGACGGACACATTACTATCACATAAGCTGACTAGTAGAGCTAAAAACTGGATCAATAGCGATCTATTTACCTACAGTATACACATATTGTGGCTCACTGTCTACTTGACAATTGTTGCAAATTTTAATGTCATTATTTTTTTAATACACCTTTTCCCCATATAATATGACCATAAATTAATGTTTTGATCAAAATTCAAGCAACATTACCCAAGGATTCTTGTGATTTCTTCTGATCTATAATGTCATCATCTCATTGACCTTACCAGTTCTCAATGCCAGTGACCTAACATGACCTTGAGATATGACCTTGGGTCATGATCAGGATACAACTTTAGATCATTAATGACAAGAGGCCCATGGGCAACAATGCTCAACTCAGTTACTTTGGCTCTTCTGTTCTTCACTAGATTAACCCCCTTCCTTGTAATACTAATTGTGGCCCCACCCTACTCGGGGGGGGGTTATTACATTAAAATTTACACTACCCTTGAATACTTCCATATATGTTTCAGCTTTTCTGGCCTAGTGGTTCTTCAAAAGAAAATTTTCAAGGGATTTGCTTGTATATTTTAATTTGAAAAATTTGGTTCCCTATTTTACCCTTGGGGACCATAATTTGAACAATTTAGATAGAATCGAAACTACCCCAGGATGCTTCCCCTTAAGAGTTCAATTAATTAACTTTTCTTGTCCATTGTTTCCTCAGATTTTAAGAAATTATACGTATTCTATGAAATTTGCCCATTTTAAATTTGTTCAACTGAGGTTGATGCGAAAGGTAAAAAATAAAACAGGAGCAAAATTTCCCTGCACGCATACAGTAGATATACTCGTATATCTCTGGCTGAAACATTTCTACGTTATATGTTTGATATAATCAGTGTATAGTGAATTAAGACAAACAGTGAAACATTGACGTACATTTTTTCAATTCCTCCAAAAATTGGGTCTTGGATAAATTTCTTGTGCACTTCACATTTTTTTGGCTATCAAATGGATAAATTTCAAACTCTAAATCTGCCAACATTTTAATGAAACTTTGCCTCTGCTGTATAATTGCGATTCCTCTTCTGAGTCTATTATCACCGACTGAAAAATCCCAATCAAAGTTAATAGCTTTCCATTCTTTTCCTTTCATCACTTCATAAGCACCAGAATTCATCCTGAACTGAACCTAAAATTTGAAAATATGTAACGTACATTGTATCACTGTACAGTGCTTATAAAAGCAATGAATCATTATTTTTCGAAAGAGACAGTCTCATAACTGCAACGGTGTGTGCAAACCAATTGTCACATGAGTTATAAAAATTTGTTAACACACACCGTTGCAGTTATGAGACTAAATCTTTCAAAAATTGATTCATTGCTTTTTTTTTTTTTTTTGCTCTCTACCTTGACTGCAATTTATGTGAATTATGTATGAATTAAAAAAACTAAATAATTATGTATTATCCTTCATGTAAGCTACAGTTAATGAAAGAGCCAAAATAACAGCTTCTGATCAATGTGTGTGTGATTTTCGCTTATGACTTTGCAATTCATAGGTCTTCAACGATTTGTGAAGTCAAACTAAAACACATGCTTGAACATGTTGAACCTTTTGGCACCCTTTCCATGTAATGGTGTTTTGAATGCAATAGATTACCTTTCAAGGTATATGCAAAAAACATGTGTAAGATAAATATTATGGTCTTGACACGGATATTTAAAATTCATGTCTTGATAACGTGAAACATGTCCATACATGAACAGGCCCCTATTTTGAGATTCATCATGATAATCATTATTTTGTCATGATTTAAATATAATTTTATTCTGATAGTGTAATATTATATCTCTGTATTCAAATAATCCTTCTTACGATAAACATAACCATAAAGATTAAATCAATAATTTTAAAAGAGTAAAACTAGTTTTTTTTAACAAAGCTAAACATTCTACTTTCGGTTTACCTGAAAACAGTTCGAAAAATATGTGTAGACTCTGTTACTCTATAAACATGATAAATAAAAGCCAGTATCTATTTTTTTCTCTCACAAATTCACAATGAACATGTTGAGATAAATAGAATAAAAAAAAAAGAAACCTACAATATAAATGCTCAGTTTCACGAGTATTTACTTACTGGACAAACACCACCAAATGTTTTCCCATAGACTTCCATACAAACTTTAGCACCTCTCACTGATACAAATATTGAATTTCGGGAAAATGGTCTTTTTGTCGTGAAAGTTCGAGATATTGGAACACAAAAAATGCCAGAAAAAATATACCGTGCCGTTGCACTTTTACTTTCAATTTCCATTTGTTTACAACTAGGTGCGTTTGACACCAAATGAAAATCTCTAACCAAAGTGCATCCCTCCATTCAAATTTTTACCTGTAACTCCTATATACCTCAAAGAAAAACAAGTCTTGATATCAGATTTTTATCAACTTTATTTCACTTGTCAAATACATAACAAGTCTTTTCTCTTATTGACCAATCACGCGCCAGCTAGCATTTTCTCCTCCGCACAACCTTGGGTGTCCAAAATGTCTGCGCCCATGTATTTGTTTATGTAGGGGTTTTTCCTATAGAGTAAAAGAAACATTTATAAAAAGTGGTCAATTTAGTAAATTTAGAACACATATCCATTGCTTATCTCACCTCTTGAATATTGGGACTGACAGTCTTAGCTTAAGTACACCATTGGCTGTTACATTTCACACCCCAGTCAATCAGACCCACATCTGTGAAACAGAAAAAATGTCTATAAATTGAAGCATTTCTCTATTTTTCTTTCAAACTTTTAAAATAAAATGATTAATTTCGCTTATGTATTGCTTGTTTTTCTTATTATCTCTAATAATTTCTGAAGGTAGATCATGTTAATCATTCAGGGTAGCAGGTACCCGTTATTAATGAAAAATGAAGAAAATCAGCAGGTTTTGTAAGAAAAAGCTGGGTTATGGAAAGAGTGAAAACTAATGTAGATAAAATAATCAGTGGAAAGAAAGAGAATTATATCTAGTTCAAATGTACTTAAGATTTTAAAAAAATCTATCAGCAGTGGGTTGCTGGCATCAGAGAATCAAATACATCCCCATTGAAAATTTTGTAATTTTGAAGGGGGGTGACCTACATTTTAGCCAATTTTCATGATCATTTCATGTAATTGATGTTAAATATGTATATTCTCATAAAAGGCAAATATATTTATTAGCATATTATTTCTTATCAATGACATAATTAATAAATTGATTAAATGCCAAGGGAAGATAAATCATATTGTCTGACTGAATATAGTGCTCAATTGTAAGCAAAGTGCTTGAATAACTGCAGTTCTGAGGAAATTTATTTTCTAATAATCTATAAAAAGTTCTTAATAACTTAAATATTAAGAGATTAACTAGATTTTCTAAGAAAACCATACCTTGAAACTCTGAATGAAAGCAAAAGGATCATCCCGAGTGTGTCCATGTTTTGTTCATTGTAAGAGGGTAGGGTTCATTAATCTCTTCCTTCTTGATAATGCATTGCTAAAATACATTTTATTTTATTAAAACATACTGATAAATGCATATAGCAGCTTATATCTTAATTTTTTATTATTTACACCATATTTTGAATTTCTTTTAAGCATTTTTGATGTAATACCTTTAAAAAAATCATGTTAAATAGAATTTACTCAGATAATTATTTTTAAAAATATCAAAGAAATTGGAAAAAAATAACTGCAGATAAGCATGACTCTTGTTATTCAAATAAACCAAATTTAAACAAAATTCCTTCATTTTTCAGCATGATTTAAGCACAAAATTACCCCCCCCCCCTTTCAGCAGAATATCAAGATTGGATATGGCAAGGAGGAGGGATATTTAGACACCTTTTTCATAATTTTTTCAGTTATAATTTTGCATATTTATTGCATTTTCAATGTATTTTCAGCAAGAATATATTGTGCTGTAATTTAAATTAAATTTCCTACTAGTAATCTCTAAGTTTCACCAATAGTATAACTCTTATTTCAAGCCAGCACTGATTACATGACTGAAACTGGCTTTTCTGCTGGATTATGCCCCTTATGTAAAAACAAAGTACCCTAATTAGCTAACAGCAGTCAAATTTTGTTATAAATTATTCAATCAACTCTGATTAACACAAATTTGAAAGAGGATTATTCAATCTGTTCCAATGTCTACACTCATAAAATACATGGATTTAAATGAATTTTTCAAACTGCGAGGGGGATATTCATATGTTTTGTGTATTGATGATGCCCATAAATATTGATATTGCATTATTTACAATATTCACAGTAAATTTCGGTATAAATATTTATTTAAAATTATTTACATGTTCATTTATTGAAAATATGAGAGCTAGGGCACAAATTTTGGCATTTTTTCACTATGTGCAGTCCCCATTGTGAGCCCCAATTTACCCAAACCCTCTAATTTTTAAACAAATAGTCAAAACTAACTAAAATATAATCCCAACGCCGAAAAAATAGGAACTGATTGATTTTTTGGCTGTAATCAATTTTTATCCATGAAATCATACCTTTTCTATAGGACAAACACCACCAAATGTTTTCCCATAGACTTCCATACAAACTTTAGCACCTCTCACTGATACATATATTGAATTTCGGGAAAATGGTCTTTTTGTCGTGAAAGTTCGAGATATTGGAACACAAAAAATGCCAGAAAAAATATACCGTGCCGTTGCACTTTTACTTTCAATTTCCATTTGTTTACAACTAGGTGCGTTTGACACCAAATGAAAATCTCTAACCAAAGTGCATCCCTCCATTCAAATTTTTACCTGTAACTCCTATATACCTCAAAGAAAAACAAGTCTTGATATCAGATTTTTATCAACTTTATTTCACTTGTCAAATACATAACAAGTCTTTTCTCTTATTGACCAATCACGCGCCAGCTAGCATTTTCTCCTCCGCACAACCTTGGGTGTCCAAAATGTCTGCGCCCATGTATTTGTTTATGTAGGGGTTTTTCCTATAGAGTAAAAGAAACATTTATAAAAAGTGGTCAATTTAGTAAATTTAGAACACATATCCATTGCTTATCTCACCTCTTGAATATTGGGACTGACAGTCTTAGCTTAAGTACACCATTGGCTGTTACATTTCACACCCCAGTCAATCAGACCCACATCTGTGAAACAGAAAAAATGTCTATAAATTGAAGCATTTCTCTATTTTTCTTTCAAACTTTTAAAATAAAATGATTAATTTCGCTTATGTATTGCTTGTTTTTCTTATTATCTCTAATAATTTCTGAAGGTAGATCATGTTAATCATTCAGGGTAGCAGGTACCCGTTATTAATGAAAAATGAAGAAAATCAGCAGGTTTTGTAAGAAAAAGCTGGGTTATGGAAAGAGTGAAAACTAATGTAGATAAAATAATTAGTGGAAAGAAAGAGAATTATATCTAGTTCAAATGTACTTAAGATTTTAAAAAAATCTATCAGCAGTGGGTTGCTGGCATCAGAGAATCAAATACATCCCCATTGAAAATTTTGTAATTTTGAAGGGGGGTGACCTACATTTTAGCCAATTTTCATGATCATTTCATGTAATTGATGTTAAATATGTATATTCTCATAAAAGGCAAATATATTTATTAGCATATTATTTCTTATCAATGACATAATTAATAAATTGATTAAATGCCAAGGGAAGATAAATCATATTGTCTGACTGAATATAGTGCTCAATTGTAAGCAAAGTGCTTGAATAACTGCAGTTCTGAGGAAATTTATTTTCTAATAATCTATAAAAAGTTCTTAATAACTTAAATATTAAGAGATTAACTAGATTTTCTAAGAAAACCATACCTTGAAACTCTGAATGAAAGCAAAAGGATCATCCCGAGTGTGTCCATGTTTTGTTCATTGTAAGAGGGTAGGGTTCATTAATCTCTTCCTTCTTGATAATGCATTGCTAAAATACATTTTATTTTATTAAAACATACTGATAAATGCATATAGCAGCTTATATCTTAATTTTTTATTATTTACACCATATTTTGAATTTCTTTTAAGCATTTTTGATGTAATACCTTTAAAAAAATCATGTTAAATAGAATTTACTCAGATAATTATTTTTAAAAATATCAAAGAAATTGGAAAAAAATAACTGTAGATAAGCATGACTCTTGTTATTCAAATAAACCAAATTTAAACAAAATTCCTTCATTTTTCAGCATGATTTAAGCACAAAATTACCCCCCCCCTTTCAGCAGAATATCAAGATTGGATATGGCAAGGAGGAGGGATATTTAGACACCTTTTTCATAATTTTTTCAGTTATAATTTTGCATATTTATTGCATTTTCAATGTATTTTCAGCAAGAATATATTGTGCTGTAATTTAAATTAAATTTCCTACTAGTAATCTCTAAGTTTCACCAATAGTATAACTCTTATTTCAAGCCAGCACTGATTACATGACTGAAACTGGCTTTTCTGCTGGATTATGCCCCTTATGTAAAAACAAAGTACCCTAATTAGCTAACAGCAGTCAAATTTTGTTATAAATTATTCAATCAACTCTGATTAACACAAATTTGAAAGAGGATTATTCAATCTGTTCCAATGTCTACACTCATAAAATACATGGATTTAAATGAATTTTTCAAACTGCGAGGGGGATATTCATATGTTTTGTGTATTGATGATGCCCATAAATATTGATATTGCATTATTTACAATATTCACAGTAAATTTCGGTATAAATATTTATTTAAAATTATTTACATGTTCATTTATTGAAAATATGAGAGCTAGGGCACAAATTTTGGCATTTTTTCACTATGTGCAGTCCCCATTGTGAGCCCCAATTTACCCAGACCCTCTAATTTTTAAACAAATAGTCAAAACTAACTAAAATATAATCCCAACGCCGAAAAAATAGGAACTGATTGATTTTTTGGCTGTAATCAATTTTTATCCATGAAATCATACCTTTTCTATAGGACAAACACCACCAAATGTTTTCCCATAGACTTCCATACAAACTTTAGCACCTCTCACTGATACATATATTGAATTTCGGGAAAATGGTCTTTTTGTCGTGAAAGTTCGAGATATTGGAACACAAAAAATGCCAGAAAAAATATACCGTGCCGTTGCACTTTTACTTTCAATTTCCATTTGTTTACAACTAGGTGCGTTTGACACCAAATGAAAATCTCTAACCAAAGTGCATCCCTCCATTCAAATTTTTACCTGTAACTCCTATATACCTCAAAGAAAAACAAGTCTTGATATCAGATTTTTATCAACTTTATTTCACTTGTCAAATACATAACAAGTCTTTTCTCTTATTGACCAATCACGCGCCAGCTAGCATTTTCTCCTCCGCACAACCTTGGGTGTCCAAAATGTCTGCGCCCATGTATTTGTTTATGTAGGGGTTTTTCCTTTACTGATGTTATTGCAACTGAGTGAGTGGACTTACCGCTTTTAGCACTAACGGTGTAATAATATTTCGCACCCTGTCCCTTCGAAACCGTATAACACCACTGTGGCAAAATTACGCACTTTGAAAAAAATTTAGAAATTTTACATGTTTTGGAATTAAACATATAAAAAAGAAGGTGACAAGAAAGTGCTTAGAAAAGTGTTTGAATTTTAAACACATATCTTAAATTTGTGCTTAGAAATTAAACATATCTAGATTTAACATATTAAAACAAGTGTACATGTAACTACAGAAAAATATAAACACTTGTAAATTTCAGCACAAAGAGCATATTATTTAAAACACATAATATTATTGTCAAAATTTTCAAAATATTAACCGATATAAGTTAATTATTCATCATAAGGCTTCTGAATGTTAAGATATGTAGATACTTTAGAATTGTGGGATGTTCTTTTCACACAAATTAATTTTTTTGGTCTTTATAAATTCAATCAGCATGACATACATTTTATAACGCAGTGATGAGCAACAAAAATAAAATAAGCTAGCAATTTTATATCAAAACTTCCTTTAATCATTTTAATAATGCTTTATCAAAGATATTTCAATCAAAATTATAAAATATTTATTTTACATAGTATTTTGTATATGATTAAATACAGTTTCAATCGGTTGCAGAGTGTTCCATATGTCAGTCATCAAAATGTCAAACTTGATTCACTTTCAGCAGTCCTAAAGCACTACATAGCACCACATGATATAATATTCCATCAGTAACTGCCGAAAAGTAATTAATCCATTTCAAATGCACAAGGATAATCACAAAATGATAATTTTAGGTACATGTTATTCAAATCTGCCGAACATTGTCGAATTAGGGGTAACCCAATGCACTTCATAAAAATACATTTCTTAGTGTTGATCATGAAACAACAATTAGCACTTGAAGATGACGCCATGCAGGTACTTTGATACATGCATGCTTTGAGTTCGATCCCGACTAGTCTACTCACATAACCTGTTGGAAAGAAAGTCAGATTTAAGTGAAAGTATTGTATGCTGCCCATTGAAGATGACATCAATTTTTCAAGTGCATTGAAACTATATTTATATAAAAATAGTTATTTTTAATTAAATTCAATATAAACTTCTCTCCTACAAGTCTATAAACAACCTCAAGGCACTGTTTACATTGCTCATCGTGGTTTAACATTAATAATGCAAATCGTAATAAAAAAGAAAATATACCTTTAATATATTGCATTAAGAGATGCCTTTCGAATGGTTTTCAATATTTCTTCAGGGTTATCCGTTGGGTTGTCAGTATCTCTCCTTGATACATCCCTAAAGCCTCTTGTGATTCACTTTGTTTCGATGGCCGTTCAAATTAACGTTCAAATATTCGAGTATTTATGTCATTTCCGGGAAGATAACTCTGCATTTTACAGCTGAACGTGTTTAATTTCTAAACACGTTTAGATATAAAACATGTTAAGACATAAGTGTTTAGTAGTTAAACATATTTCTATACATGTTTAGATCTAAACACGTCATGGAAGTGTTTAAACTCTAAACACAATTTTTACAGTGTACTTGGCACTAAGGGCCACTGAGCAGTGGGGGATCTTTTTCGTGCTAGCACCTACTGCAAAAGGGGACCTCAATGTATACGGTCTCATCCGAAGAATCGGTCCTCACGGTCCACAGTGGGATTCGAGCCCGCGACGAAAGAATCAACTCCACACTCCGAGAAAAGACGCTCTATATATCTACTTCGCCACTGGCCAAATTTAGAATCAAATCTTCAGGACATGCCATGACTCAGTCTAAAATAGGATTGTGTTACTGTGAAGAATGTGCATGTAAGATGAGTTCAGAGATCTAAAAAAAATCATTTTGAATCTGACATGGCCGCGCAAGAATGACATTCAAAATTCTGAAACCTTAGTCCACTGAACATCAAAAAGTAAGATTAGCCAGGTTTTCGTAGAAAAAAAATGTCTTTTATCAACTATACACCTCATCACCCCAAAAGGTTAAAATGAAATATATTGAGATATAAGGAAAAACAAAATGATAAAAAAAAACCCAGAAAAATTACAATGCTGAATTTTAGTATTTTGATTTTCCCGATAAAATTCACATGGCTAGGTATATTTTTCTAAAGTTTATATAAGTTTATATAATTCTGTTATCACCAAGCTAAACATGCATATTCTGAAAGTTGTTTCATCTGTAAACCTTAACTGAGTGTGATTTGTCCATATTTGTTATTTTATTGAAGTAGTACTAATATTTTCCAAGTATATTTCTTTTTCCAAGTCTTAGGAGAAAAAAAAAAAGAATTATCCACTTTTCTAAACCTGTAACAAGATAATCTCCCTCCTCAAGAATTATAATTAAGGCCTGGACAGAATGCATTGACAATCATTAAGATTACCATACAAAATAAACAAATAACATTAATAAAATAAATAAATAATTCTGAACTCCATCTCGGGAATACGTATAAATAGGGTAAAAAAAAACTCATTCCATTTTATTGAAGAAACACTTAAAATGATAAAAACTTGAGAAACACTTTCATGCTTTTTAGGTAAAATCTTCAACAATAAATACGATCTAATATAGTTACGATAAAGTCAAAGCATTTACGTTTTCGAATTATTATAAATTATTAATATTTATCGAATATGATTAAATCTTAGAAATCATATGATGCAGTGTAATTTCATCAAAATAGGAAGTTCATATTTAATGGAGGCATTTTATGACTACAGAAACCAAATAGACAAACAAAAACATTACATATCATTAATTGCTCGATTCTGGGAGAAATATTTCAGCATTTCTGTGTTACGTGGATAATTTTGATCTTAAGAGAGAAATTAGATCACATGTTTTTCTCAGCCCGCCTCTGTTCTAACAACCGACTCCAACACAAGCCAATCAGTGATCAGCATTTCACAAATTCTTGTCATTTTAAAAGAAATCACAAAATACAAAAAAATCTTCAATGCGACAGTCTGTTGAATAAGACAAATATTATGAAAGGCATCTAATGAAAATTTTAGCGAAAGAAGCAAAAAGAAAGACTCGACATTAAGTGATGCAATATTCATATGGCAGTGCAGGCACTAAACGAAGCATGGAAGGGTTAACCGAGTTAATTTGTGTCCAAATCTTTTGTCAAATACAATATGTAAGACTCTTAAGTGCGATGGTGACGCCAAAGTCCGATAGTCTCGCCAAACCCCGATGGCTCGGTGTCTTTACGGACGCCAAAGTCCGATGGTCACGCCGAAGTCCTATGGCTCGTTTCCTATGAGACAAGTTGCGCTAAAGTGCGATGGTCTGACACACCAAAGTCCGATGGTGTGGATGAACAATCAACGTTTATGACGTCACACTAGCCCGACGTCATGACGTTGTTCTGCATTCAAGATGACACTCTAAAAAGGATATCTTATTTCTCAATTGATTTAGTATTTGTCTCGCATACATTTGTACTGATTTTGCTTATTGTTTTCGCCAACCATAGCTATTAGGGTTAGTCCTTGTACACCATTCGACTGATAAGGGTTAGTTCTTGAACACTAATGTGTTTTTTCGAACTCACCCGAGAGATTTTCTGGTTAGTCCTCGCACACTATTGGACTGATTTGGGTTAGTCCTGCACCCATCCAAGATATCTTATAGCTTATGGTTGTTACACATTTTTCGACTGATAAGTGTTAATCTTGCACCTATATCCAAAATATAAGGGTTAATCTTTGCTCAAATAATATTCATTTGTATTTATTTAAAACAATCAGGCCTTAGCATGGCACAGCATCGCATTTTTGCGCAGTGGTACTATGACGTCATAAACGTTAATAGTTTTCTGCACCATCGGATTTGGCTTCTTACAATGAACTTTTTGAAACCCTCAAACCCAAATCAAAATTAAGTAAGAAAATAACTTTGAAAGGGGCAGGTAAACATTACATCACCGCCAAAATAGCAGAAAAGGTTTAGTTGAGAGTAGGGCCAATAGTACAACGGTGGGATGTAGTGGTTGGAGTGATAGCAGACTCATTATTACTTGGACTTGATTTTTTGAAGGCACACAATAGCATTATCAATATGCAAAACTTGACTCTTACTTTGCATCAAACATCAGTACCAACCACTAAGATCAAAACAGAGAGTTCAAAGAATGATGTTCAGGTATACAGAGTTTCTGTACAGAAAATAACAGTTATACCACCTCATACAGTTCAAATTACACCAGTAAAAGTTGACAGATCATTCGAAGGTTCACTTTGTATTGAGAGGGACAAGAATTCTTCTGAGGGTTTTATGCCTCCAAATTCTGTAATTAATTCAGAACATACAAGCATTTCCTTTAGAAAGCCAACAGATAGATTTGTCACTTTGAAAATGGTGAAAATATAGGTTTTGGAATGAAAATAGATGAAGTGGTTGATATGGAAGATGACTAACAAATATCTGTCAATAAAATTAAAATTAATCACTCCATTACTAAACCATCGTCAGAAAATTGAAGATCTCAGTTACCACCTCACTAACAAGACCTATATGATAGATTAATTACTAACCGAAATAAAGAAGACCTTTATAAAGCTTTCTCTTTGCCAAACAGATTTCAACATGTTTTTGTCAAAGATGATTTTGATTTAGGTCTTTTTAATGGGGAGATAACTCATAAAATTAACACTGTTGGAGCAAGACCAATCAAATAGAAGTAGCGTAGAACTCGAGTAGGGTTTGAAAATGAAGAGAAAAAACATATTGAACAAATGCTTGAAAAAGATATAATTCAACCCTCTACTTCAGAGTGGGCCTCTCCTCCCGTATTGATTGATTGATTGTATATTGTTTAACGTCCCTCTCAAGAATTTTTCACTCACATAGAGACGTTCCTCCCGTATTAATGCGAAAGAAAGATGAGAAAATGAGATTTTGTATAGATTAAAGGCCCTTTAACAAAGTTTCAACAAAAGATGCTTTTCCCATACCAAATATACAAGATTG